AATTTGTTGTGAAATAGTAAAGACGATAGAGAAAGAGATATTTTGGGGAGAGATAGCCGTCATCTTTGGGCTTTGAGATCGTTTTAGACATCAGATCTCTCCCCGAGCATCCGCTTTAACATTTAACCTCGGACTTGTTTTTCGGAGGCATTTGACAACCCTGCAGAGTTCTTCTTTGCGCTTATCCCTAGCTCTTTGTACATTTTGCACTGTAAAAACTAAAAAAAAATATACATAATAATTTGAAAAATAAAACCAAAAAATTTAAATAGCTTAAAAACGCGCAAAAAGTTTATCATGCAAATATATCTACATAAATATATATTATATATATATATACATACATATACATGCAATGAAACGACGTTATTTATATATACGCCTACAGAAAAATGAGTAAAAAAAAAATCAACTATTATATACAAATATATATATATACATAAATATATAAATATATATATATACAATACTTATTTACATTGCATATTTTAGCGTTTTATTCAACTTTGGAAAATAAAAAATAAAAACAAAAAACAATCCATAGAAACGCGACAAAAAGTGTTCTTTTTAACTAAAAGCCGGAAGAAAGTCACCAAAAAAAAAAATATATACATACATATATAAATGCAAGGATATGCAAAGGAAGAAAATAGAAAATAAATTAAGCAAGATTATTTATACACGGAAATGCATTGGCATGTTGAAAGCTTAACTAGAAAACACTAAACAAAAAAAAAAAACTTGAAAACTAATTTTTCAAAACGAAACACATAATGCAAGTTTTTGTACCAATCGCTGTAAATATGTAGCAGAGACGGAAACACACAATTTTGATCGGATCTTGGATTAATTTTCATTGAGTTTTTTCCCTTGACAAAATAAAGAAAAGAAAAAACATCCCAACAATCCGAAGCTTTAATCCATTGCCACACAGACACACACAAAAAACACCCACAGCTATGCTAAAAAGCTTTAAAACAAATTAAAAAAACATTTCTCTGAACAATTAAAACAATTTTACGAACAAAAGAAACGGAAACTCTGCCAAAATCAAGCAAACACCAATTAAAACCAAAACAAAATACATACCCAAATTCTTCTTTATATAGCAACAAATTGTAAACAACTGAATAATACGAAAACTTACTAAAAAAAATACAAAAAAAAAAAACAAGAATTGGAAAGTGACACAGTAACAGAGAGGAGACGAAATGGGAAACGAGAAATAAAATAAAAAAGCTTATTTTATATATTCAAACATACAACAATAAAATAAACGAAATGACCATTAAAAGAACTAAATTATATATGAAAAAAATTATAAGCAGAAAATTTATATATACATACATCATATGGTATATATGAATGATTTTAAACCATGTAAAGATCACTGAAGAAACGTTTTTTCAACTTTTAATAGTTTTCCGAAAGTTAGTGAGCGAGCGAGAAGGCGAGTTGGAAAGTGCGAGGGAGAAAGATAGAGAGAGCTACAGACGCGCATTATTATTAACTAATTTAATATGCAGTATGCTATATACATATATATATATATATATATACATAATGAATATAGTATATACATATATCTACTATATTAAAAAAAAATTAAATGAAAACAAAATGAAATGATGATGAGTAATAAATATACACCGCAAAGGAAAATGATTAAAAAAAAGAATACATTTTAAAACAATGAGAAAAAGATCGAAAAAAATACACAAAACAGAACACTCGAAATAAAAAAAAAAACAAAAAAAAGAAACCAACAACAAAAAAAAACATAAAAACCCATGACTTTTTATTAATATGTAAGCTAATCAGCTATTTTGCAGCGTGGCTCAGAACTATTGTCTTTTAATTTATGTGTTTTACATTTTGCATCCCTTAACTTTTTTATTTCACATCCTGAGCGATCTGAAAACCTTAAATTAGTGGAAGAAGGGGACTGGAATGCGCTATAAGTATATTTTTTGAGAAATATCTTTTTATCTTCCATCAGCAGAATCTTGTATCAAAAGTACTAGAAGTATCTTTTTCCCGAGATATATTTTTTTGAGAAATATGTATCTATTATATGTACTCTTATTTATTTATTCAGCATTATTTATTTTGGGTTGGGGCCTACCTGCGACTTGGTCCCAGGTGAGGCTTCTTCAGCTGCGAGCTGAGTTTGCTTCGAGGGCTTGTTGAATTTATAGTGTTATAATTTTGCTTCGCTTTTTATACCCGTACTCAAAAAGAATTAAGGGGTATATTAGATTTGTGGTAAAAGTGAATGTGGAAGTAGATATATTCTTGATCAACATCAGTAGCCATGTCTGTCTACCCGTCTGTCCGTCCGTCCGTCTTATTTGTTGCCTAGATCTGAGAGACTATTAGAGCTAGAGCAACCAAATCTTGTTTCCAGACTTATGTGATATCACACTGCTACAAGTGTATTTCAAAATTTCGCCCTTTGCGCCACCTCAAAGAACGAAAATCTGTGACAGCCAGAACTTTAAAGATACGATAAAACTGAAAACGCAGTATCGTAGAGAATGAACATATCTACCAGATTGCCGAATCTGAATCAGATCGGATCATTATTATAGACAGATTAAAGAAATTAATTTTCATTTGCTTCCCCCACCTCCTCCAGCACGCTACTTATTCTCTTGTAAAATATTTATAAATTCAACATAAATCATAAGTTCACAAATTTATATACTGACTGAGTACGGGTATAAGAGTAGAGTCGCGTCCACAGAAGCGACTCACACGTTCCTTCAGTTTTTGTTTGTTTATTTTTTAATCCTGCTTTTGTTAAGGGTATCAATCAACTGGTCAACAGCCAGCAACAGAGTTTCTTGGGCTTTGTGGCGCTGCTTTGCGCTTGAGCTTTTTTCGGCGCCTGCGTTTGGCAAAGGAAGACTGCGCACGCTTGCGCTTACCGCACGACCCTTTACCATCGCGCTTGGACATGACGCGATTCTTGGCCCGCATCCCATTCGAATCGCCTAGTGTTGAACCGCTAGCATACTCTTCCGATAATGACGATGTGTAGTCGCTTTCCGACATGTTGGCAAAAAACCAAAACAAAAAGGAACGGATCGAAAAATGTGTGTTATTAGAAAAATAATATAAAAAAAACAGACTTCACAATTTTATTTTAGAGAGCTAAGTGTAGCTGTGCTTATCGCACTACAACCAGTTTAAGACAAATATTCCAGATTGGGTATTTTTGTGTGCGACATTTATTTTTAATTTTTTGTCTATAGATGTATTTATTAAATTTCAGTCAATGTGACCAAAAGTAGTACCCCTATTCGTGCAGTGGGGATGCCAATTAGCACATAAAATAAATGTTGCACTAAAAGCCAACGTTAGTTTTAATAAATGCCAGACACTGAAGTCTGCATATGAAAATTAAAAATATAATTGATGGTAAAATTATAATAATAATGTTGTAAACACAACACAAGGAATACCCATACTCCAGAACAAAACACTCAAAAACAATGGAAATGCAACACAATGCAACGCCACCGAAAATTACAAAAATATCCACAATAAAATATTCACAAATCTACAAAAAAAAAATACTCTCTCATAATTGTAAATTAAATTAATATATTTTATTGTGTTATCTATTTACATATATTCATAAATTTGTTAACTTGGTTTTTGCAATTCAATAAGAGTTAGAGTAGTGTGAATAACTGAACGTTCGATAGCTCAATATTATCGATGACAAGGCAACCCTGTGGCATCGATAACTCTTTTCTTCCGTTTCCGCAGATATTCCTTTATTTTCCGTTCAACTGGCGAAGAGGTAAGATGTGCTCTGCTCGTAAAATCCTTTTTTTTTTTTGGTGCTAAAATAGTTTTAATAAAAGCTCCACACACACACACACACACTCACACAACCATGTCGTGCTTCAATATTAAACAAGTGAAACACGCATAATAATAGCATTTCTGCTTGTAATAAACATTTTTTTTTCTTAACCAAATGTCCGCAATTTCGGTGCAAACTTTGTGGCTTGGCCTTTTATTCCTCTATTTGGCTATATGACGGACTATTTTGTGTATTTTCGATTTTAGCATAGCTCCATACACACGCATGTCGCGCTTCTACATTAAACAAGTGGAACACACACAAAATACAAGAATTTTCGCTAATTTTTGATCAACGCAAAGGCCGCCATCTTGTTGCAAATTTTTGGCTGTGGCTAGGCTTTTGATTCTTGTATTTGGCCCTTTGTTGAATTATTTTGTGTAGTTTTGATTTCAAAATAGCTCAATACACCGGCATATCGCGCTTCAACATTAAACATCTGTAATTTTTTTCTCAACGAAAGGGCCGCCATCTTGTTGGAAATTTTTGGCTGTGGCTAGGCTTTTGATTCTTGTATTTGGCCCTTTGTTGAATTATTTTGTGTAGTTTTGATTTCAAAATAGCTCAATACACCGGCATGTCGCGCTTTAACATTAAACATCTGTAATTTTTTTCTCAACGAAAGGGCCGCCATCTTGTTGAACATTTTTGTCTGTGGCTAGGCTTTTGATTCTTGTATTTGCCCTTATGTTGGATTATTTTGTGCAGTTTCGTGTGTTTAATACTAAAAACCAATAGAGAGGAAACACACTTACATATTTCCTGTAATTATTCTTAGCTTGTTCTTTCAAGTGGCTAGCCGGTAAGTTGTGTTGTGTTTTCTGCTTATAAAGTGCGTTTTGTTTTGTTAAAATTGTTTGAAAAATAAACCCATAACACACACGCATGTCGCGCTTCAATAATAAAAAAGTGAAACACACAAAAAAAAGCGTTTTATGCCGCCATCTTGGTGAACATTTTTGGCTGTGGCTTGGCTTATGTGTGTTTATATGGTGTGTCTGTGTCTGTGTATGTGTGTGTGTGTGTGTGTGTATCCTGAATGTGCCACGCATACTTTTTGTTGCTACAACGTTAACTAAATGCGACTGCAAACATTCACCGCTCATTTAAATTGATTTCACAGATAAGATTCAACTTCGGAAAATGTCGTCCACCCCTCCACCTTCTGCCCCACCCTCGGCCCCCCCTTCGCCGGCTCCCCCTTCGCAAGCTCCACCTTCGCCGGCTCCCGCTTCGCCGGCTCAGTCTTCGGCTGAGTCTCAAGCTGTGTATATACTGCTGACAATGGCACAAGCAGAACAAGGGCCACCCACTTCGGTACTACCTGAAACGGATCAGCCAGTTGAGCTTGCTCAAATAGAAGCCATACAGCCAATACAGTATACAATGCCAAATGCAGAACAAGTGCCACCGGACCCGGTGTTGCCTGCAACGGCTCAGCCGATGGGGCTTGATTTAATTACGCCTGTGCATATAATGCCAAATATGGCAACACCGGCACCAGGGCCATTAGTATTGATGGACACCAATAATGTTGTAAGTATTTTCGATCCTGCAAAAACTTCCAAAGGTACAAAATGTTTTTTCGCTTTATAGCAGGTGGAAAAGCGAACAGTAAATAAAAAAAAGAGAGAAAAGAAACGGCCAGTACCTTATCATGGACCTACAACTCGTAGTATGTCAAGACGTTTTCGGGGATTCACCGCAAGCTTGCCACCCGGGGGGATCCATGGTGAGAACGCAGAGATTCCAAACGATATTCTCTCAGCCCCGAACCCAGAAATAATTGGCACTCAAACCAATGGGACTTTGAATGATGTTGGATCCTCAGGTCAACGAGCCGATATATCTTATCAGAACGCTGTAAATGGTGAGGGCCAAGTACAGCCGACTGGTACACAGGATATAACAGAAGCTAAATCAGTGGAAACTGAATCATCAATTGAGGTTCCCAAAGAAAATTTGGAATTGGGAGAAAACGAAGGGGGGATCCATGGTGAGAATGCAGAGACTCCAAACGATATTCTCTCAGCCCCGAACCCAGAAATAATTGGCACTCAAACGAATGGGACTTTGAATGATGTTGGATCCCCAGGTCAACGAGCCAGAGTAGTTTTAGCCGATATATCTTATCAGAACGCTTTAAATGGTGAGGGCCAAGTACAGCCGACTGGTACACAGGATATAACAGAAGCTAAATCAGTGGAAACTGAATCAACAATTGAGGTTCCCAAAGAAAATTTGGAATTGGGAGAAAACGAAGGGGCCGAATCTTAATTATCTACAAAAAAAAACAACGACAATAAATCGCAGAACGAATATCCCACAGATTGAAGGATAATCCTGCGTTACATTACATTTCAACTTAATTGATTATAAATACATACATCATTTCTTCATTCTTAAATGTTTAATGATAAAATTAAAATTATAGTTATTCAAACAGATTTGTTTATGTTTTAATTATTTTTTTGTTTTTAGCATTTTTGTGATTTTCTGATCGCTCTCCCCTGGTGATTGGGTAGTTGTAGCTATACTCCTGAAAGCGCGAGGAGTTGGTTTGGTGGCACTTACCGCTCGACCTACGGCTAGGTGGCTCTTTGAATGGACAGAAGACCTTCGGAAAGGTTCATCGGTAAAGGCCAAGGTATGTACTATGTATGTTTATTGCTGGACGCGATAGTAATTCGGTTCCTGGTATGCAGTGTGGAGATTCATGACAAGGGTAGGCTACTGAGGGTAGTTAGCTCTGTTGCGCAGCTTTTTAGTGTTCAACAACGACCATCTGTAGGGGTAGGTGTGCTCTGTTGCGCACCTGTGCGTTGGAGGGGAAGCTCTGTCACGCACCTTTGAATGCATTTCAATGGATATGCTCTGTTATGGGAACACCGGTAAAAATATGCCTTACTTATATAATTAATTTCATAGCATCGAATGTATTATTGTCGGTATAGTCTCGGAGCCCGGTGACAAATCCGGAGAAAGCAGGATAAAAAGCTGGCTAAAATTGCGCCTGAACCACCAGCCACTCGTAGGGCTCGAGACCCAGTGAAATATCAGCATCTGGTATTGTTCGAATGGGTTTTGTGAATATTTAAATATATTACATTTGGCGAGCGTATGGTTTGTTTTTAGTAGGATTAAATATATAGTCTATATTTACATAGCGAAGTTCGTTCAAAGAATTAATGTTAATTAATGGTATAAAGAATCATTGCATATTCCGTAAGTAGTAGCATAATATTCATAGCTCATTTAATTACTTTCAAAAAATAGGACAAGATAGAAAGCAATTTGGATGGCTATATAGAGGAAAGTATAGAGATTGTTTTGATTTTATGGGAATTTGGATATGATAATTAATCTTATTATTCAAATATCAGCCAAATAGCTCAATCGATATATAGCGGAGCATGTATTAAAATACCAATGTGGAAAATCAGTTTTCAAATTCCAATAAAAGGGCAAGCAAACAAATTAAAATAGTATTCCATGGGCCAACAGAAAAATAACCCATTGCTCTAGCATCGGTATTTAGTGCAAGTAAAAACTGCCAAATTTTATATAGCAGTTGTCTGTAAACGGAATACCTTTAAATTGGGGATGCTGATGCTGCTATATAGCAGCATTCTGCTTATGTTGCATTCCCCCACCCCACTGTAACAACAGTTCGAGCTCCACTCCGGAGGTCCAGAAATTTCACACATTTCGTTTACCAACACGCTGTTGCGTTCAACTGGAAAATTATTGCGCTGCACTTTTCCAAAAAGTATTCCCCTTAAAATTAAATAAACTAAACTCTTTTGCTGATTGCGATTCGCCAGGCGTGTAGGTCCACCTATATCCAAAATACGCGTGAAGGGCAACAGGTTCCAGTAGCAGAGTGAAAAAATTTAGTGCGCACTGTAAAATTGTTGCAGTTGCAGTTCCAGCCACAACACAACAGCAGCCACAACTCGCGTGGGGCCACAACAAGTGAAATGGAGAGCACAAATAAAAATATCGCAGCTGTGGCTAACTCGGGAGGGTACTTTCTGGGCATTCGACAGTCGCTGAGGGCTCTGAAACGTGGGGAGGCCAAGCTCGTTCTTGTCGCCAGAAATATACCCACAATTATGCGCATTAAGCTGGAGCAAAGCGCCGCAATTGCCAAGGTCGAGATCAAGAATTATGGTGGGACCAACAAAGAGTTGGGCCTCGCCTGCGGTAAAACGTTCCGTGCGAGCACAATGTGCATTACCGATGCTGGTGATTCGGACATCCTTGGTTCCTCATCGGCTGACAATTGAAATGCTCAAAATGAATTTCTGCATATGCAATGCAAACAAAATTATACTTACCCGTAAATTTAAATTTTAAATAAAGGAACTTGTTTCCCTGAATGTGTTTTATGGTTCAATTGGACAAGTGTATTATTTTTCGTATGGAAAGGGGGCAAGGCAGTCAGTCCCAGTGGCTCTGGGAGGATTTTCTATATCTTAGGAGCGATTGGCTTTTACATTTGTTCTAGATGTTGGACGCTTTCCTGCTAGGGCTAATGGGCAGGCTTACTTAACTCTCTGCTAACGAGTCTCCCATTCCAGCTCCGAGCTCCCACTGGATACAGCTCACTACTAAGTACTTTAGACTGAAACCTGTTGAGTGAAACATTTTCTGTGTTGTAACCAATTGAAGGATGTCTTTAATAACTATCACAAACTGAATGTGTAACTGAATGCTGGGGCATATTTCTATCTAAATATTGGAAAAAAGAACGTTGCAAATGGAAGTCCATTACAGAGCAGTGCTGCGGCACCCAACGACCATGGCCAGCAGAGCCATGCGAATGTACATGCCGTACTCGGCCTGCCGGAAGTAGGCAGCGCGCGGATCCAAATCAAAGTCGCGACTGATCTCATCCAGACGGGGCAACGGATGCAGCACAATCATACGCTTTTTGGCCAGCGTCATCAGCTTGGGCGTGACAATGAAGCGACCGTAGCACTGCAACAAAAAAACAATACGAAACGCATTCGAATAAATCAGTGAGCGGACTATTCTGGGTGCTTACCTTCTGATACTCTGCCTCGCTGTCGAAGCGCTCGCGTTGTACGCGCGTCATGTAGAGGACATCGGTGTCGGCGAGCACCGACTCGAGCGAATTGCAGTATAGCTGCTTCACGCCGCGCTCGTTTACATAATTGCTGATCTCTTCCGGCATCTGGAGTGTGTTGGGCGCCACATACTGCAGCGTCACATTGTAGAGGGTGAGGAGACGCGCCAGGGAGTGGACAGTGCGGCCGTTTTTCAGATCGCCACACATGGTGATGGTGAGTCCGTTGACGGTGCCGATCTCCTCCCGTATGGTAAAGATGTCCAACAGTGCCTGGGTGGGATGCTCGCCGACGCCATCGCCAGCATTGATCACCGGCTTGCGGGAGTACAAGGCGGCACGCTGAAAGGGCAGGGCAAATTAACGGATGGTAAGGTCTTTAATCCATTGCATACTTACAGCCACAGCACCGGGTAGGGGATGGCGCAGCACCATGACATCTGCATAGCTGGCCATCACTTTGATGCTATCCTCCAGGGATTCGCCCTTCTTCACGGACGATGTGAGCTGATCCATGCTGATCATTCGGCCGCCCAGTCGTTGCATGGCAGCGGCGAAGCTGCACTGCGTCCGTGTGCTCACCTCGTAGAAGACGCTGGCCATGATCTTGCCGCGCAGTAGATCGTCCACCGGCCGGTCCTTGGTCACCCGCGACTTGAGCAGCTGCGCCAGATTGAATATGTCGTTTAGTTGGTCCTTGCTGAACATGTCCACGGTCAGGATGTGCTTGCCCACCAGCGAGTGGGCCACCGGATTGGCACTGGGCTGAGCGTACTGATTGGCCGTCGCCGTCGCCGATCCTGACCCTGACATGGCGGTCCTCTGCAGATAGTCCCGCAGGGTGGTGTTGCTGGACGAGTCCAGGCGGTGGCGCGGCGACGGCGAGATGGGCCGTAGGAAGCTGTTTGAACTATTGGCCTCGTCCACAAAGTGCACCTTGGCCGATCCTTCCACAGTCAAGAGGCGGGCGAATGTGTCATTGGCATCCCTATCGCTGGGCAGCTCCTCTGTGGCCTCGGACAGCAGCAGCTGCTGGGCGCCTGCCTTGGTGCGTACATTCTGCCCGAATCCGGGCTGGACGAGTACCTGGCCATCGATGAAGGCCACCTCGCCGCGCAGCACGACGCGATGGACACGACCCGTCACCTTGGTCCCCTCGAAGGGCGTCCAGCCAGCCTTGGTCTTCAACTCGCTGCCAGTGATGGTCCACTCCTCATCCAGATCGACCTCTACATAGGTGTGCGGCTGCTCGGGCAGATTGAAGATGTTGCGCGGATTGCGGTGCAGCTTGCGTTTGATATCCTCCATGGTGAGCCGTCCCTCGTGCACAGCCTGCAGCAGGAGCGGCAGAATGGTCTCCAGGCCGGGAAAACCGGGCGGCGGTTTCTCGGATCGTTTCTCCGCGAGCGTGTGCGGTGCATGATCGGTGGCAAACACATCGATGTACTCCATGTGGTCCCACAGAGCCTCCTGGTCTTCGGGCGAGCAGAGGAGCGGACGCACCTCTGACATGCCCTTGCCCAGACGCTCCACATCCTTGGTGCTGAGGAACAAATGGTGCGGACACACTTCGCACGTCACCTTGATGCCCTTCTCCTTGGCCGCTCGGATCAGCTGGATCTCCTCCTTCCTGGCCACATGGCAAATGTGCACATGGCGATCCAGAAGGTGTGCCAGCAGCACCACAGCCGCCATGCTTTGCTTCTCCGCGTGGCAGACGATCGGCGCCCGTTTGGGCCAGTGTGAGAGATGCCGCTGCCAGGCCGTCATATCGCTGAGCCTCAGTGTGCCGTACGTGTCGTTGAGGTACATCTTGAGGCCACAGGCTTGCGTGGCCAGCTCGTGGGCCTGCGCCCAGTTCGCATCGGAGGCGCCCAAATACAGGGCATAGTCACAGCGGGCCCCAAGGCGTGCCAGCTCCTGGAACTCAGCAAACGTCTCCTTGTCCACTATCGAGGGATTTGTGTTGGGCATGGCACAGACCAGCGTCACACCGCCAGCCAAGGCGGCGGCTGTGCCGCTGGCAAAGTCCTCCTTGTGTGTGGCACCCGGCTCCCGCAGATGCACATGGACATCGATGAAGCCCGGCAGCTTGACAATCCGCCGTGAGGTCATGCAATCCGTGTGCGTCTTCATTGCCGGCTGGCCACCCATCAGGCGCATCGATTCCACCAGCAGTTTGGTGCACTTGACATCCGTCACCAAGGGTATGGAGTAGTCCACCGCCAGGCGGCGGGTGCGATAGCCATGAGTCATGAAGGAGGATACCCTGAAGGACAAGGCAAGGATGTATAATAGGATGTGTAATATGTATATATATGTATATGTATGTGGACACTCACCTTCTGACACCTCCCCCACTCATGGGCAAATTGATGACCAAATCGAACTGTTTGTTGGCCAGAAATTCGGCCAAATGCTGCAAATCTCCATTGATGTCGTCCGGTGTTGTCTTATCGAATGTCCACTGTACCGATTCCACCTACAGAGAGCAGAGATCAGAGATCGGAGAGAGAGAGAGAGTGCATTAGAGAGACAGCAATTCCAAGGCCAACTGCACGTCAGTGAAAATCAACTTCAACTTCAAATGCAATCAATTGTTTGCCGAGGCCACACACAGAGGGAGAGATATCGCTATTTATGGGATGGCGATGGTGTACCCACACTCCATGTAGACATGCCAGATCCCCCCAACAATACCAGTTTATAGCCCCGTTACAATGGCACAGTGGGTCGCGAATCGCGAAAAAGGGGAATGCTCCCTATCCTCATTTATTATTATTATTTTTAGTATTAGCTTTCAGTTACTTTTGGGACCATGAGGTCTGTTAGGGCCATGCAAAGAGTCTGCCAAATAGCGATTTCAGTTTCCAAAAGACTTTCTTGGTTAGAGCTCAATATCGAGAGTTATATCAGGGACTGCAATAATGATTATTATTATAATCAATAAAAATAAATATAAAGAAAAAGAATAATGATTTTTTTTTACTTGTAAATCATTATGTTGCGGGTGAGTAAATAAAAATTAAAATAAATCATTATTGTATAATTTTTTGAATAAAACTTATAATGATTGCAGTCCCGGGGATATATAACTGAGTTATATATCACTTTTCGATAGACTCAACTCTCTTCAAAAGATATATGCCATGTATTTTTAATTTAAATTGTCAGAATACAAATTGAGAGTAAATTGAATTGTATAATTAATTTCTTTGCCACAAATAAAGCGACTAATAATGGCAAATGTTCAACGAATAACAAAGGTTAGAGCTTTTTAGGCTATCCACAATATTATAAGTTAATTACACCAAGCACCTGTAGCAACTCGGTGTTCTTTATGATGGGATCTCACAAGTGAAAAGTTATAGAGATTTAAATTGGAATTAAATAGAATTTAAAAGCGACTTAAGCGAATGTTTTCCAATGTCCCATTCATGATATGATATGTGTTGGTCCCAGTGTAAAGTGAAAATAAGTACTCGCAAAGTCCATAAGTAAATTGTGCTTTCGTTTGGTTCGAGTTCGAGTTTACCTGGAACCGAACACCCTGACGCCACATATAGAAGACGAGCAGCGAGCCGGAAGTGTCAGTCACTTATCTCCGCTGATGGCTGTATGATTGCGATTGTTTGATTGTTGATTGGTGGCGATCTTATCAGGGCGAAGGAGAAGACTGCTGCGGCCAGACAAAAATCGAACTTGGTCAGAGGCACACACAGAGAGAGCTGTGTCTACCAGTAAAGAGACCAACACAACAGCCAGGCCATGGGTTGCTCCTGCTCGAGGCCATTGGAATACGACGGCGCCACGCCCAATCCACTGCAGGCGGCCATTGCCCCACCGCGCGTCCAGCGGCGACGCCAACAGGAGGAGAAGCGTATGCGTCAGTTGCAGAAGCTCCAGAAGCGCAATGCTCGTAAGCGGCAACAGAAGCGAGTATCAAGCGGGGGCGGCTCGTCAGGATCCATTCAGCGGCGCCGTGTAAGCGGCGGCAAACAGTGCCAGGATCTGGCGCTGCAGCTGCGTCTGCTGGGTGGAAGCAATGGCAGCAGTGCCACCGAGTGTGTCAGCGCATTGTACGCGCGCACTTTGGAGCACCAGCGGGAGGAGCTGCAGCGAACCATCGAGCAGAAGACACTGCAACAGCTGGACAAGGAGCTGCACACGTTCCTGCTCAACCAACTGCTGCTGGGCTTGCAGTTCTTTGCGCACTTCGACGCCGAGATGGGGGCCATGGACGTGGAGCTGCAGTTCCAGCGGCGTGCCTGTGGCCAGTCCCTCACCGAGCACAGTCTGCTGCAGGCGAGTGCCATAGATGTGGCTGTGGCCAAGCATCTGCTCTTTAAGCCCATGTAGGTGGCAGCAGCCCTGTCCTCCGCACATTTAGCTGATCTCTGATCGCTCTCTTTTCTTTCTTGCTTTAGAGCTGCCAAACACTCCCAGCCCCTGCAGAAGCCGCTGACGTATGTGGTGTTCGAGAACGTGGACATATCGCGGCCCAACGATGCCAACTATGACTCGATAGCCACCCTCTGCAAGGTGCTGCTCGAGTCCGACTACTACACATCCACGCCCTGCCGCTCCGAGTATGTGCAGCTAATGGAGCAGTCCCGCTGGATGGGCTATGTGCGCCTGAAGCTCAGGGAGGAGCAGGGAGCCCACGAGCAGGCGCAGCCAGCCAGTTCGAGTCCGCGTCCGATTGGGCGGGCCGCCAGCAGCGGCGATGAGGGTGAGGGCGATGGCATCTACACGGACGGTGGCGGATCCACATCCGGCTACAGTTCGGGCAGCTGGCGGGAGGGGGACTACGATCACGTCTATCTGGCACGCCTCAACACTCTCCGGCCCATGGAGGAGCTGAGAATGGGCAGCGGCCCGCCGTTGGAGAGGAACGTTCTGCCAGAGGGTTGCATTTGCCGACTGGCCAGCTGCCTGCCCGCCTGGCTGGAGCAATCAGATGATGACGATGACGACGAGGACGAGTCCTGCCCCAACAGCGATGGGGAGGAGGAGGAGGAGGCCGATGAACAGGAGGCGCCACGTTCCGCCTACGAGACAGTCCAGGTGCTGCGCCAGTGCCGCGTGGAGCAGCAGCGGCGACAGGCCCTGCTTCAGCAGAGCTACCTCAGCTCCGAGCAGTTCATGAAGTACTTTGCGGATCTGCTGCGCCAGCAGCTGGCCCGCGAGCTGCAGATCCCCGCCTCGTTGCTGGCGAACGGCAGCTATCGGGGCTGCAGCGTCTACACGGACAGGGAGGAGCTGGTGCCGGCCATTCATGTGCCCAACGCTTGGCCCGACTGCGCCTTCGAGTTCAATCTGAGGGCGCGTCCGCGGCTCACCAATCTGCACACGGACGAGAAGTTCCAGTGGCCCACTGAGCAGATGAGGAATCGGATTCGCTCTTTCGGTTTCCATGTGGTGCCAGTGGGCTATGCGCCGAAGCATTCGCGGAATCCCTTTCGGGAGCTCGAGTGGCGCATTGTCTTCCCGCAGGCGGAGCAGTTCCTGGAGCGCCAGCTGACGGCCATGCAGCTGAAGGTGTTCCTCCTGATGAAGGTGCTGGTGCGCACCTTTGTGAGCGACAAGTGCCAGGCCATGGGCTCCCTGGTGGAGCAGCTGCGTGCGCATCTCTTCTGGCAGTGCGAGCGGCACAGCAACGACTGGCCCGAGGAGTTTCTCGGGGAGCGGCTGCTGCGCTTCGTGCGCTCCTTCGACGAGTGCCTCGCCCGCAAGCATCTCAGCGACTACTTCATCGAGCGGCGCAACCTGTTCGAGCACGTCCCAGAGGATGCCCTCATGGAGCTGCGCTCCATTATGGCCGGCATTGCCGAGCAGCCGCTCCTCCATCTCGTGCAGGCACTGCGGAACCTCGACCATGCGCCCGACTTCTATCCCAAGTTGGACTACAAGCGGCTGCTGGAGAACTTCTGCTGCCAGGACTACCTGCAGCTGCACAGCTGGGGCAGGTTCTCCCGCTCGGCCAACTCCATCCTGCAGCAGGCGCACCTGCAGCAACAGCAGCTGGATGAGGAGCAGCAGGAGCAGTCACAGCGAGTGGAGGTCACCGACGCCCGGGGACTGCTCGGCATGCCGCAGCATCAGGAGCGCTCAAGGGGCAAGTTGCGGCGCAAGACCCAAATGCTGCGCGCCTCCAACCAGCAGCTGCAGGAGTTGGCCGACCAGCGGCGTTCCTCGCTGGACTCCTCCTCGATGATGGACATGTCCATGCAGCTGCTGCTGTCGCGCTCCCGCAGCCTGCAGGACACTCCGCCGTCGCAGTGCCCGGCGGGGCCGCAGCTCAACAACGGCCTGGAGATACTGCGGCGCACCAATCTGCTGGAGCTGCTGATCGACCATCTGCTGGCCATGCTGGCCAAGGCCACTCAGTTTGGCAATCGGCTGCACGCGGAGCTCTACTTGGAGCAGGCCCAGCGGCTGTGCCGACTGTACCAGAAGCTCGGCTGCTCCCAGAATGCCCAGCACTATGTGGAGGAGCTGCTGCAGGCGTCGGCGGGACATTGAGGGGATGTGCGTGGCCGGTGCGGAGACTCCGCCTGCCCTGCCACGACGCAGCTTCTCCGGTTCTATCAGATCATCGCCATCGCCATCGCCAATGCCATCGCCACATCCTTCGCCGTTGACTCCCCGCCAGCGTCGCAAGTCCATCAAATTCATGGAGCATGTGGTACAGATCCACACACCCGATCCCATGTCCAGGCAGGTGCTGCCCCTGCCACACCACACGGCACCTGGAATACTGAAGGGAAACACACAGCCCAAGCCAGAGGGCGCGGTGCCAGGGATTAGGGAGGAACCCGCCCAAACAGTGGTTAGTCCCACGGAGAGCATCCTTTCGCTCAACACTCTGCTGCAGCGCCTCCACGTGGATCCGGACAGACTACAGACGCTCAGCAGCAAGACGGAACAGGTCATCCAGACTCTGGCACCTTCGGAGGCCAAGCGCGAAGAGCTGCGCGACATCCTCAAGCGGAATACGCAGAAGTTCAAAGAAGCCTTCAACTGAATTCGACCTTAATCCTATGCATAACTACGCAGGCTGCTATTTAAGTTTCTGGCCTAGCTACGAAAAACACAACTTAGGCTTCCGCAAATGGTTTTATTATTTTGAACAACATTCTTCAGGAATAGAAACCCTTTTTTCGAAACATTTGAACCTATTTTCAGAACACTTTGGGCACATAGAAAAAGTATCCATAACACACATTTTTTGCCACGAGGTGATCATGGAAAATCTTATTAATGGTCGTCATACTAATGCTTAGGGATACCTCAATCCCACAGTATATGACATGATGATCTTGCTCAATCATTTCGCGCACAGCATCGATATTTTTTGGCCCAAAAATTCATTTTAAGCTACACGAAATTCGATATCGAACGTGGGTCGTACATGAAAAAGTTGTATGTTTGTTTAATTCATAAAACTTCAAACTTTTTTATGCAACTGACCATTTGGTCGTAGTACGACTAGAAGTGACCTAGGCCAGAAACATAAATAGCACCCCTCGTATGTATGTATATATCTATAAACTATAACTGTAAGTTTCCCCCACTCACAGATAAGACCCAGCGAGCACTCTGCTGAAAAGTACTCTACAGTACCTTGAGCTACTGAATCCATTTGGCTAGTGAGCACTCGAAGTGAATATTACAGGGTATATGTTTGAGTTAAGGCATCAAGGCATAAAGGTGACTCCAATAGGTAAAGGCTACGGATAAAATAACTCCTCATAACCGAAGATCGTACAATTATCTATGAGCATATTTACAATAAAATAAAATAAAACTAAATTCAGATCTTTCGATTCTACAAATTGCAATTAAAGAAACCTCCCGGTGCCAAGGAAAACAAATAGTAGCATCAAGCATCTCTCTGCCCACGTCATGCACAAGCTATGTGTGTTGTTTTTGATACCAGTCTGAACTAGAGATCCCCCCCAAGTACTTTCCCCGTCCAAGCCAATGGGCTGGGCCTAAATATTCAATTTTAAAAAATCGTTTTAGCACTCACATCAACGCCATGTTCCGCATAGAAGTCGCCCGTGCCCATGGAGGCGTACAGCTTGTAGCCCATCTTGGCCAGGTCCCGTATGGAAGGAAGCAGCTCCATTTTATGCTGCCCAAAACGAAAGGAATTCGAATTATAAAAGGGGAAATATCTCAAAATATGCATACGGCAAGGAACCAAACGCTCACCTTGAAGCTGCCAACGGAGAGGAGTACGGCGTTCTTGGGTATCTGAAAGCCAGTGGACATCATGGCCTTGAGGTAGGCCTCGTAGCGGTTGTCGCCAAAGCCGGCCACTTCGCCGGTGGAGGCCATCTCAACGCCCAGCTGGACATCGGCTCCCGCAAGGCGGGAGAAACTAAACTGTGGCACCTTTACACCGACCTTGCCGACTCCATGGAGCACATCGACGGGCTCCACATCCATGCCGACTATGGCCCTGGTGGCAGTGGCCACAAAGTCATGGTCGAGGGTCTTCGAGACGAAGGGGAAAGAGCGCGAGACGCGCACATTGCACTCAATAACCTTGAGTTCGTTGTTCTTGGCAATCAGTTGCATGTTGAAGGGTCCGGTGACATCCAGAAGACTGGCCAGGGCGCAGGTGATCCGCTTGATGGCCTCCAGTGTCTCCGCGTTGAGATCCTGCGGCGGTGTGACCAGCGTTGCATCGCCCGAATGGACGCCAGCATTTTCCACATGCTCGGAGACGGCCATGCAAAGGATCTGACCGTCGGCCGCGACAGCATCAACGTCGATTTCCTTGGCCTCGGTGAGAAACTTGGATATGACCACCGGATGCTCGCGACTCACCTCCGAGGCGGCGTTCAGATACGTCTCCAGATCCTGGTTGGAGTAGGCCACATTCATGGCCGCGCCGGACAGCACATACGAGGGCCGGACCAGGCAGGGATAGCCCACCTCCTCGCAGAACTCGATGGCCGACTTGAGGTTGGTCAGCTCCTTCCAGCGCGGCTGGAGGATGCCCTTCCGATCGAGCATGCGCGAGAACTTGAAACGATTCTCGGCACAGTCAATGGAGTCCGGGGAAGTGCCCAGAACCTTGGCCTGCTGCCGGTGCAGATCCATGGCAATGTTGTTGGGCAGCTGGCCGCCCATCGAGAGGATGATGCCATCGGAGGACTCCAGTTCGTAGATGTCCATCACCACCTCAAAGCTGATCTCCTCAAAGTACAGCCGATCACACATGTCGTAGTCGGTGGAGACCGTCTCCGGATTGTAGTTGATCATAATGGTGCGCTTCTCCAGCTTGCGCAGCTCCCGCAGACAGCCCACGGCACACCAGTCAAACTCCACCGAGGAGCCAATGCGATAGACGCCCGAGCCCACCACAATGATGTGACCGCCGGGGAACTCCACGTCGTGCTCGGTGCCGTGATAGGTCGTATACAGATAATTGGTGCTCGCCGGCCACTCACCGGCCACCGTGTCGATCTGCTTGACAGACGGACGGATGCCCAGCTCGTGTCGCTGTTGGCGCACCACCAGCTCAGTGCTTTTGGTTACCTTGGCTATCTGCTTGTCGGAGAAGCCCAGACGCTTGGCCTTCAGCAGCAGATGGTGGTCCAGCTGTTTGCCGTCGGAATTGTGGCGTCTGAGATAGTGATAGAAGCAGACAATGCGCTCCAGTTTGTGCAGGAACCACTGATCGATTTTGGTCAGTTGATGCATCTCATGGATGTTCATGCCCAAGTACAGGGCAGCGGCCAGGAAAAAGGGCCGTCGATCTGTGGGCTCTGACAGCTGATCCGCCAGCAGCTGCTCATCCACGACCACACCGTCCGCATCGAAGCCCAGCACATCGCTGTCGACCATGCGTAGGGCCTTCTGGAAGGCCTCCTCGAAGCTGCGTCCAATGGACATTACCTCGCCCACGCTCTTCATGGAGCTGCCGATGTGCTTGCTGACGCGCGAAAATTTGGCCAGATCCCAGCGCGGTATCTTCACCACACAGTAGTCGAGGGAGGGCTCAAAACAGGCCGTCGTATTCCCCGTCACCGAGTTCTTAATCTCGGGCAGGGGCAGCCCCAAGGCCAGTTTGGCGGCCACATAGGCCAGGGGATAGCCGGTGGCTTTGCTGGCCAGCGCCGAGCTGCGCGACAATCGCGCATTCACCTCGATGATGTAGAACTGCTCCGAGTGGGGGCACAGCGCATACTGGATGTTGCACTCCCCCACCACGCCCAGATGCCGGATGACCTTCAGGGCGGTGTTACGCAGCATTTGGTACTCTCGGTCCGAGAGCGTCTGCGAGGGTGCCACCACAATGCTCTCGCCCGTGTGGATGCCAAGCGGATCAAAGTTCTCCATGTTGCAGACGGTGATGCAATTGTCGAAGGCATCGCGCACCACCTCGTATTCGACCTCCTTCCAGCCTTTGAGCGACTTGTCCACAATCAGCTGGCTAGAGTGGGCCAGCGCCTGTTCGGCCAGGCTCTCCAGCTCCTGTTCGTTGTTGGCGAAGCCAGAGCCCAGGCCGCCCAGCGAGAAGGCGGCCCTTGCCATCACCGGATAGCCGAGACGTCCGGCCGCCTCCAGTGCCTCGGCCACCGAATAGACGGCCTCCGATGGCGCCACCTGCTCACCAATATCGTTGACAATCTGCGCGAAAAGCTTACGATCCTCCGTTTCGATGATCGACTGGATGGGCGTGCCGAGAATGCGGACATTGTACTTGTCAAAGACGCCAGCGCGATCCAGTTCCACGCCGCAATTGAGGGCCGTCTGGCCGCCAAAGGTGAGCAGCACACCGTTGGGCCGCTCCGATTTGATAACCTCCTCCACGTAGTGCGGTGTAAGGGGCAGGAAATAGCACTTGTCCGCCATTCCCTTCGAGGTCTGCACAGTGGCGATGTTCGGATTGATGAGCACCGTCTGGATGCCGCACTCGCGCATCGCCTTGATGGCCTGCGAGCCGGAGTAATCGAATTCGCCCGCTTGGCCAATGGACAGGCCGCCAGAGCCCAGGATGAGCACCTTGCGTGGCTTGGGCTGGACGGGCAGCAGCTTGGCGGGACGCAGTCGTCGCTCTATCAGCTCCGGCACACTCAGCTGGGGATTGCCGATGGATTCCATAAAGACATCGAACAGGAATTCGGTGTCGCAGGGTCCGGCATGATGCTCCGGATGGAACTGCACTGAGAAATAGGGCTTGGAGCGGTGCACAATGCCCTCGTTGGTGCCGTCATTGGCATTCACAAAGAGCTCCTCCCAGTCCCCGGGTAGATCCTGCAGATCCACTGCATAGCCGTGGTTCTGTGAGGTCATCAGGCAGCGGCCGGTGCCGCGGTGCAGACAGGGCAGATTGTGGCCACGATTGCCGTACTTCATCTTGTATGTGGAGCAGCCAATAGCTTTGGCCAGCAGCTGGTGGCCCAGACAGATGCCAAAGATGGGCTTCGTGCCGGCCTGAATGACGCGCCGCACCTGCTTAACAATCGCGTCGCAACTCTCCGGATTGCCGGGCCCGTTGGACAGGAAGAGGGCATCGTATTCGTCGTCCTTCAGCTCAGTGCTCCATGGCAGCAGCTGCACAGAGGCGCCACGCTGCAGCATACAGCGTAGCTGATTGAGCTTCAGGCCGCAGTCGATGATGGCGATGCGTGGACCCTTGCCACTGGTGGCATCTCCGAAGACCATCCTCTGCTTTACGCTGCACTCCTGGGCCAGGTTACGTTGGTTGGGATCCTCGAAGATCAGTTTGGTTGGCCCCTCCTTGGGGGCCTCGTACACGATGCGACCCAGAAGGCTGCCCTGTTCTCGCAGCTTTTTGGTGAGGGCGCGTGTGTCCACGCCACTGATGCCGGGCACCTTGTGCTCATTCATCCACTTGGGCAGCGTCTTGGCGCTGCGCCAGTGCCAGGCGCACTCGGCCACTTCGCCCACCACAAGGGCGGTGGCCTGGACGGCTCCCTTGAGCCACTCAAAGTGCTTGGGCAGGCCGTGTTCGTCCTCCTCCGCGCAGGGCACTCCGTAGTTGCCAATCAGGGGGTATGTCAGCACCAGAATCTGTCCACTGTACGAGCGATCTGTCAGCGCCTCTGTGTAGCCAACCATGCCCGTCTGGAAGACAACCTCGCCGCCCACGGGCCTATCCTTGTCCACATGGCCGAACGACAAGCCCGGAATGACGGTGCCATCCTCCAGCACCAGGTAACAGTCCACTTGTCGCATCTTTATCCTGTATCCTGTCCACAGAAGAAACAGAGAGTGTGAGAGAGATATGTATATATGTATGTTAAACAATAAAATTATGCATACGCACTTGGGATTACTTTTATTTGTGTACCTATTCTGATATAGCAATTAGATTGTATTATATTTTACATGTTTTATCTATTTTGATCCAAAATGGATCTGTACATCTATCCGATTACAATATACCCACGAACACACACACACATGTATAAAATGTCACTTCTGCCTGCTACGCACAAAACCAATACTCCCTTCTACTCGACAAGTACAGGATAGCATAAAGTCCCGTATAACAGAACAACAAACGTGCGGTTCTCTTCATACACAAACACACACACACATGACCTCTCTCACGCACTTTTGTCTGTCTCTATCTCTGTCGCCCTTATGTGTTTTGCTATGTCTGGCAGCAACATGTTGCTCGCGGCTGGAACAGTGGCGAAACTTTACCAGCTGTGTGTTTCTTTTCTTGCTACAATCAGCGCCTTATCAAAAATGGAAATGTATAGACAGCTTGAAAACACTGCCACGACATGAATGGAGGTGTTTTTTAAACCACAAATGACCAAAATATTCGATCATTTAAATATGGATAAATAAATCAAAATAGTAATAAACTTTTAAACATATTTTATCCACTCAGATGTTTGTTTACTAAGCACAAAGTGCCGCTGTTTACCACAACGTGCCGCTGGTTGTGCGAGTGTGTGTGAGCACACGTGTGAAGAAGTTCAAGAAGACTTGAAACCGGTTGGTACCCCAACAAAGTACTCCAAATCCAATGCGTATTTTAAGTGTGTTAAACTTGTGGAACAGTCCCCACCATTATGAATAAAGTTTTTACAATTTTGCGGTATATTATTTAGCCATTTAGATGCACTCACACAGACGACACCTTCGTTCACAGAAGCTTTTGATGCAGCTTGCAGTTGTAGTTGTAGATGGAGAGCACGTGTGTGTTAGAGCTGTGCTTTGGTTCTGTCTCACTTGATGTCCAATCAAAGTTTTATTTATAGTGCTTTGCAAACCTAATTTGTTTAGCATTCAATGCCGTTTGTTGTCTATTTATATCAATTAACAAAGGGAAGGAAACTGTGAATGGCGCAGTCAACCAAATTCGCCGCCTAATAGGATTGTTGATATTATATCGATATGGGTGATATTTGTTATTTTTGATACGATAATATCGGTAAGATATTTTGTCGCCGATTATATCAAGAATCGATATTTTTTGAAAATATTAACCACTGCGCGCAAGAGCTTCCGCTCGGACAAGATGGACAAAATAAATCGTTTACACAAAAATTGACCAGCACTCCGTATCGTGCAATGTTTGCATTTAAGAAACAGGCATCATCACATCGTTTAACAGACTTCTGGCGCCAATAATGTGAATGGCGAGGTTCGTAAACACACGTGCACATATGCAGAATCCAATATTGTTCTAAAGTTGAATATGTTTTGGCGTTTTAACAGGCAGCTAATGTTCAGTCCGATATTGACTTCGTCGCTGGTGTGTCGTTGCACGAAACACCGAAGAGGGTTAAGCAGATGGATTTGCGATCAATTTTAAGTGAAGAGAAGCAATTTGAAGGTAGAACTAAACAAAATATGCAATCATGCGTATATTACTGAAATATTTGTATAGAAGGTTGAGTTAAAAACCGAGAAATAACGCAAAAAGTCGCATTCATGATCTGCAAATATAATATGCCTGCCCGTTGCGTCGAAGAAGAGGGCTTGCAAATGCAAAGCGCCTGCCCCAAGTATAAGATGCCTTCTCGATTCAAAGTAAGTTTCGTTTATAAACCTCACACTGTAGATGAGATGCAGATGTTAAACTAAGGTTATATTTTATAGGCTGTTTACATGGGGCCGCCGGGGGGGGGGCGGGGGGCCAATTCCCCCCTCTGGCCGGGGGCCCCCCGTGGCCCCAAACCAACCAACAGCGCCGCCCGTACCCGCTCATGCGCCGTATCGCCGCCCATGTAAAAAGGCTATTAGATTACACAGTCCGTTAAGCATAGCTAGGCCGAAACCAAGGAAAATGTTAAAAGAATGTTCAACGATATTAAGCACATTGCATTCAGCAATGACGTCCTAACTGTGACTAGCTCAACTAGAGCATTTCTCACGTTGACAGCCCATTTTATAAACAATAATATCTTAGATAGTATTTGTTTAACTGCTGTTCGAATGCAGGAGGTATGTAAAATTTCATCTACCGTGCTATCCCAATAAACATATCTTTACATATGAAAATGTAAAACAGCGCGTATTTTTAAAGTCGCTGAATAAACAATATTGGAATATATAAAACTAATAAACAATTGAAAAAATTTTTGAATATTTTGCTCAATATATCGATATCTTAAAATAGATATATTCGATATGGCGTTATTTAAATGTATAGCCTGTTTACACTACGGTTGAGTTATTGCGTTATGGCACTAACCATACAACATATAGATGTGCCAGTTCATACAACGAAAGGGGCGCAAATGAGGTTTCTGTCCCAGCACCCCCAGGTCTTCGGCTAGGGTGCTGGGACCATTGTGTGGGTGCTGAGACGTTCGGGTCGTGGGCCTGAGACGTTCGGCATTTTTTCGACATGTTCGATTCATGACGAGATGCGAAAGCAAGCTGAGAATTGCAAATGTATGTGTGTAAACAGACACGACAAAATTTTATATCAATTCTTATTTTCCGAAACAGTTTTGAGTTTGTTTTGAGTTTCGTTTCCAGGTTACGTAAATGTGTGTGTGCCATGTATTCACACATAGTGTGCTTGTGTGTGAGCTCTACAATTGTTGGCCGCTTGAATTGGTTTTTCGTTTTGTTTTGAGGGCTGATGTGATGTAGCGACCTATTCAGGGCCGGATCAACCCTCAACCGGGCCCTGGGCAACCATCAATCTGGGGCCCTCCTTTATTTTGTATATTTCTCAGTGGCTATTATATTTTTTATTCATTATTTGGAGTTTTGTTTTTTCAACAAAATTTTTCGTTTATTTCTAGGAGGGCCCTAGGCAACTGCTAGTCCGGCCCTGGACCTATTCCCGTCGTAAGACTTCATATTTTCTTGGTGTGTTCTGTCGCTCGACTCGACGCGGGTCGGGTCGAGGCATTGAACTCAATAACTCGAGCTTGTGCCAGTGTAGACGCCAATTCTGGGTTTTTGAGTTGACTCAACAATCGATAGGTAACTCATGTCAGTATAAATAGGCTATTATTCTCTGAAACGATGTATCGATGGTAGACTTAAGAACCATCGATATATCGCATAATTCTTAAACCATCGATTGAGACATCGAATGCTTTTGCAACACTTGTTTGAGCAGCTGTTTTCTATTTACACAATTAACTGAAGCAAACAAAAGTTCTAGCCATATTAAAACATATTTATTCCGTTTAAGTAAGACGATATACGGAATAGCTGATATGCCAAAGGTGCGGCGAAGTCGAAAGCCGCCGCCAGATGGCTGGGAGCTGATAGAGCCCACACTGGAGGAGTTGGAACAGAAAATGCGGGAAGGTAAGCCGGCAACTAATTTTTTTATAGATAGAGAGGGAGATGGTAAAGAGATGGTTTTTTTTTACAGCCGAAACTGAACCACATGAAGGCAAACGCATCTCGGAATCGCTATGGCCCATATTCAAGATCCACCACCAGAAAACGCGCTACATCTACGACCTGTTCTACCGCCGTAAGGCTATCAGTCGGGAGCTCTACAACTATTGCCTGCGGGAGAAGATTGCCGACAGCAATCTTATAGCAAAATGGAAGAAATCCGGCTACGAAAACCTCTGTTGCCTGCGCTGCATACAGACGCGCGACACCAACTTTGGCACCAATTGCATATGTCGTGTGCCCAAATCCAAGCTCGAGGAAGGACGCATTGTGGAATGTGTGCATTGCGGCTGCCGCGGTTGTTCGGGCTAATACCCGTCCGTCCAGCCACCTGTAGAATTTAGCATACAATTTTTTTTATACGAATGTTGTGGCTGTTTTAGACATAAGTTATGCTCCGATGGCCCATAGCTAATCCCACTGTTAGACAGGGACAGAGAGAGAGAGCTAGGCATTGTAAGCTAAAAAAAAATAAACGTACAATTTATAGGATTTTGTAAATGGTGAGAATCGAAAACTAAACAAGATTTGCCTGCCTGCCTGGCTCAGAGCTGTAAATTATCCAACACAAATCCCAAATTGGGGTCACCTATCTGCTGGCCACACTCCCGCCCAGTGCCCCCAGCTACGCCCACAGAAATTGCATGTACATAGATTTTAATTTAATGCCTGGAACAATTTATTACTGCGCTGACATAATTCAAACTCAATGTCGTTGGGGATGTGGCCGGTGGCAGTGGCGTCTCCACGATGAGCACGTTGCCTTTATGGCCGTATTAATGGCCTCATCGAGGGAGAGGCCCTTCCCTCATTCTACCATTTTTTTCATTCTTTTCGAGTTTGGAAATTGTCAGGCTTCAAGTGCCCGTTGGACATTGGACATGGGAAGTCGCCTGGGCCCGATGGGGTGCTCGGGTGGTCCACTGGGGATTTGTGCGAAAATGATTATAAATCGTTTCTTAATTATACTTGTCTGCATATTTTCCGTTTTCCGCTTCCCGAAATAGAATCGGATCCATCGCACAAATATATTGTGCGACAATTTTATTTCTGAAATGGAATGTTATTGTCCAGCACGAAGTCTGGGTACGTCTGCTGTTGACAGCTTGCCCCAAAAAAACCCCAGGGAAGGAAAGATTTAAAACAAGCGAAATGGCTGAAACATTTGCACGCGTCTCGACCTAGAGATACCTGCTAACTAGTTTCTTGATATACAGTGGCTCACAGCTTAAATGAACCCGACGACCAGCAAAGCTTAAAAGTGGTATAACTTCTGGACCATCAACCGTACCACTGAAAATCAAATGTATACTGATAGACAAATATTTAAACTTCAACAAACCCAGCTTTATTTATTTTTCAACATTTTTATAAAGCAGTTTTAGCAATTAATTACAAAAATACTGTCTCATTTCATCCCACAGCCTATTTGAGCCAAAATACTTAAGCAATTTGTTTTGGTTTCTATTTTACTTTTAAGCTAAAAGTTTATATATTTTATGTTTCTCCTATTGTTTCCATTTTGAGCCATTTTTGCATCGATTCGACGAGTTTTTCGAATGTTTGAAGAATATTTGAAGGTGGTTTCTTTATGTGTGGATAGGTAACATGTCCTTGTCCATATTCCGATTATAGAAATCCAAATTCCCAATACCATTGGCTGACATATGAGCCTAAATATGTCCCATGATCACCTCCATGCATAGCTGCAGCGTTCAGGTTCTTACATAAATATGTACGAGTATATGCAGTTAAATATTAATTTTTTCCCATGCTTCCATTTTATCAGTGCTACAGATTTTATCTTTTCGCTTACCATTGCACGAGGGATTTTTCCTAAAGGGCAATAGAATCAGATGTCTTTTTAATATATTTGCATATACTAGTTCCATTTTGTGTTGTTGTTTTAAAATTATGTTTTAAGGACATTTTTCTAGTGAACTGAATTGATTCAGATTTTGTATAGCTCAGGCTTGCTGAAGATTTAAAATTATAACAAGCTTCTCTATATAATCGGGAGACTATATGAGACTTAACTTCTGTATGTAATCCTCTTCAAATCCCAATATTGCCTTGATCGCTGACTTGAGATCTTGCAATCAATTATTATTATCCTCTTGAAGGATTTTCATATCCTTGATGCCTGCTGGGGCAAGGGTTTAACCCCAGTCCCCGCTCGTTAAACCGGGTTAACGCACCCTTTTTTGTTGGGATTCGTTGAGGGCTGTTAATTTAATTATACAACGGGCGGGCTGTGTTCTGTGAACAACAAGCCGCAACATGTCCGCTAATTTCTCAAAGAATAATGGCTACCTACCTACCGAGGGGCCGGCCAGAAGTGGCCAATTTCAGGTAGCCCTATCGATGGCTGATTGGTTCTTATCGCCCAACGGTAGGATTATCCCTGCATGTGGATGTCTGCAAGTGTTGGCAGTTGACCTTCGACCTTATCATGAGCGGTCTGTCCGTTTTGCACATTTAAACGATACACAGATAACTAAAAACGGACAGTTCCGCCAGGCCAAAAATCATGAAAAGTCTATACAAACATTTCCATTTCCATTTATTTTTTTCCGATATTATTGTCTAAATTTATTGAAAGTTAAATAAAATAATAAATTGATAAATATTTTAATTAACTTTGATGCGAAAACCTATTCAAATAACGTTTTCAGTATTTATTGGTATTTTTATGGTAATTTTTTCTTTTACTATTATCGCCTAGAAGAAACATGAGTCTTGATAAAGGTTTTTCCTCAAAGTCTCTCTAACATTTTGAACTATTAAAAAAAAGTAACAGAACACTTTTTCAATCTCGGCGAACGGAATATTTTTAAGCGTTTATTACCGCAGAATTTTGGTAACGTAACGCCAGTAACGTTCGTCAGATGTTTCCGCGGACTGATAACAAAAACAACAGAAGACGATTTTTACATTTAATACCTTTGAAAATTAACACTATATACATACATATATGCACAACAATTCTATATAAAGATAGTATTACCTAAATAATTCGCTTTGAAATTTTGTTCTCTAAGCTCGAACACGTAACGTAACATCAGCTTATATTTTGTCTTACGTATATCTTTAAAACTGTACCGTTGGATTGTTGTGATTTTTGTTGGTGAATATATTACCCAATTACTATTCAAATAAAAAATATTTTTATTCCAAAATTGTACTTTTAATTATTTTTGTTTAACATTTTGTCGTACGAATGTAACGTAATGTTACATATGTTTGAATGAATATTGAATGTTTTTTCATTAATATGAATTATTTAAAGTAAATTAATAAAGTAAAGGAACAAGGGGGTGGCAGGGGAAATTTACGTTGTTTAAGTGATTTTAGGAGATTCAGATATAATAGTGGCCATAACCTCACAGTTGTTATTTAATGCGTTTTTTTTTTTTTTAAATTGAATTTGGACCCTTAAGTTTAAAGCCAATTAAATAAAATATATTTTAAGCAATGAAATAAATTCTATCGATGCTCTCTGCACGTGCTGACGATAGATACCTGACAGATACCTGCCAGACAGTATTAACTGAAGTTCCTTAAAATATTTTCAGCCTTCGGTTGAGGAGCCGCAATCTCCGCCGCTAATCCCTTTGTTTACATCGACGGTGACGGACCCATCCCTGGATCCCAGGTAGGCGGCACACCCACACCCCAAGACAAACAAGACCATAAAAGTTTCAGTCGTCCATGTTGGGTGGGTGGCAATCATTCATGAAGAGACCTGCACCAAGCCAGATTCCAGGCTACCTGTTTTCTATAAAAGCGAGCCGTGAACGGCTGAGGGGCAGCACACGCCTTGCACACTTCGACGAGAGCACACGACACACGAGACGCGAGACACACCCAAAGCCCAAAGCCATGGAACAGAGCCATCTCTATCTGCACAAATTCTACGCCCAGATCAGCCCAAGGCCCCTCCTAGTCAGCACCGCTGGCCTACATCATTCGCACTCCGGCAGACCGGCGGCAACGCAACAACAACCCGAGCACATTGACGAGCTGGTGGCTCTGGAACTGCAGCACCTGAAGACGCACTACGCCGACGAGGAGCAACGATATGTGGACCAGATGCTGCTCGCGAATCCCATTGTGGTGGAGCGACGGGCACAGCCCAAACCGGAAACTGCAATATCCCCGACAGAGGCAGCCAGACCAGTGCCAGTACCAACACCTCCTTCGCCCGCACCTGCACCCGCACCCGCACCCGCACCATCATCCGCAATGCCCAGCAGTCGCCACGACACCCAGCGTCAGAGAGCCGAGTCCTGCCGCAAGTCGCGCTACAACAACAAAATCAAGAAGGCCAAACTGCGCTTCCGTCACAAGTTCGTCAGCAGCCAGCTAACCGAGAGCGTCGGCGTGCTGGACCACATGCGGGAGGTGATTGCTCAGGCGGAGGCGCAGCTGCTGGCGCGAGGCTTCAATCTGGGTGCCCTGGAACGCATGCGCAGGAATTTTGGCGTGGATCGGTGCATGACAACGGCCATGGAACAGTGATTGATTGATTACTCTCTCAGTCTCTACTTTAAGACAACTTTTTTTTCTTGTTGATTTTTCGATTTATAGCGCACTTATTATTAGTATTTAAAACCAATTAAAAATATTGTAAATAAACATGTTAAGCGAAAAATTATGTTGCTTTCTTGTGTTGGTCTGAGAACTTAAGTTTCGGGGGGCGATGTTGGGAAAGTCAGACTGGAAATTAATGTAGAATCGTTTTCAGGAAAGCCGCATTCAGAGTGCAATTAGCTGACCTTTGCCGGTCTTCTCCCACACTTGGACGATGTAGTAGCAAGACAATGAAATGGCAGTCAGTGCTAGCAGAATATCTAGCGCCAATTTAGTTTTTGAATAGAACTCGAACTCTTTGTATGCACAAATCAAATCAGTAAACGTACTTTTGCGACATAATCTAAGTGTGTGTCACACATCTATCTCATCAAAATCACTGGCTGCAGAAATGTTTGCTTTTGCCTAGTTGAAACTTAAATTTGCAATATAAATTGGCTAAGGACCAGATACAACAAATTCCGGACTATTCTGTGCTCCAAATCTTTGCTTCAACGAACGTATGTACATATGTACATATATTGTATGTAAGTGAGTCGATACGAGTAAATGGCAAATAAATTGCTCACTGGTAATAAATAGGTACAGATGCAAACGGAGGATTTGCTCTTGTTGCTTGATTTTTATAATTCGCGGCGTAGTAATTTCAATCGCAACGCTTTTTACATCAGCTGTAGATCTATGCGTCCAACAGCTGCCCCTCTTGGCTGGAAGAGCAATGGGGAATCTCCAGACGCGACATTTGATTTTATGAATAATCAAGAGAGACTTTAAGATACATACTTATGTAGACCTCGACCTGAAAGGTCTTGAGAATTATTCAAATGAAAAGGTCTTTCTCCGCGCTGGGCCTGACTGGGGCCTTAAGATGAAGCTGGAGGAGAAGAAGCAAATGGAGTTGTGCTTGCATCCAGCGGAGTTCAGTGTCTTGGATTAGTATATGTTAAGTGCACAAGTAAATTTATATTTGTATGAAAATTAATTTATTTTTTGTATTACCCGCTCTTAATACGAATTCGACACAATTTTGAGTCCATTATGAATGTTTTGACTTTGCATTTAACGCTTCGGCAACTCGGGGGCTCCATGTTGGTTTTTTTTTCTCTGTATTCGAGTTGAAGGTAATCCCATTGGCATGCCATTCGGCTTGGTTAAGTTCAGTTCATTTGATCCGACATGATTGCACTCTGGTTTCTTATTTTCTTTATGCTTTTTTTCTGTTTTTTCTGTTTTTTCTGTTTTTTCGCTTGCGAACAATTTGCGTTGCCAAAAGAAGTAAATGCAATGGAAGTAATGGCTTTTGGGGAGGGCGAAGTGAATGTGAATGGGCTGGGAATTGTGGCTGCCTGCTTCTGCCATTTAGTGATGGCTTCAAACCAAGGATATTGGCGGAAGATAAAGAGCCACTGGCTTATCGAAAGGTGTGTGTCCTCCGCTGGAAATATAAAATGCATTTCCATGTGAAAAAACATTTATATGTACATAGAAAATATATATTTAAGAGACGAAAATTTGAGGATAAGCTGGAAAAAGGCGAGGTAAACTCGTCGCTGCAATGATGTCCTTTTGGGGCGCTTACTTGCGATGGGTTGTCCGTATTAAAGGAAACCCTAAAGAGAGCGCTGAGTGCACCCATAGAATGCACTCTACCACAATGGCCAATCGACGTTCCCCTGGTTCGAGTGCTGATTTTCACGTGCCAGGTTACAAATGATTTCATTCCCTTCTGGATGCAGTCGTACCGTACCATTCCCATTGCCTCCGACGTGCGTCTCTCACTCACTCAAGTGCACACAACGGGTCCCGTCATAATAATAAATGAGTAAACCGTTTCCACGACTCTCTTTCCCTCTCTGTCTGTCTGTCTGTCTGTCTGTCTTTCTCTTTTGAGGCAGTCCGGAAAAACTTCAATTTGATTTTATCGCCGGGCCATAAAAGCTGGCCACGCCCATTGAGCTCAGCTCGTTTCAGTGTTGAATGCAGTGCGGTCCAAGATGCGCGATGGGCGCGGCCACGGGACGGACTGCCACACGCACGAAAAACATTTACGAACCATCAATCCATCCATCCATCCATCCATCCATCCATATTGCTTCCTCTGTCGATCTCTGAGACTTTAAGAGCCATGCCGAAACAGAAAAAAGACTTACCACCAATCCGGTGGAATATGCAAGGCTGGATGAAGAAAAGCAAGAAGGGAAAAGAAAAGCAGACAGGACTCTCTCTTGCATGGAATTATTTTCCTGAATATAAATATTTGGGTTGTATAATGAGAATAATATCTGCTAAAGTGATTTGTTCTTTTAAAAGAAAGTTAATTTAGTTATTTTTTGTGGTATTTTGAAATAGAGTCACATGTGCGGCACATGCCCATCTCTAGTCTGACAGCAAATGAGACAAGGCTGGGACCCCCGAGATGCAGCAGGAGGAGAAGTAGCAAATGGAGTTGTGCATCCATCCAGGGGCCATTGTCTCGGCAACGCACCTGCCGTGGCAGCGATAAAAACTTGCGATTGTTCGTGACAACTGTGGGAGGAGTAGGAGTTCCAGCAGCACCAGCGAGTCCTTCCATTCACTGCACGTTTCTAATGCGATGAATTGCTTTTTCAATTTTCCAATTTATTTTTCATTTTCAAAACTACTCACAGATACCCGGACACGGACACGGGCACCGGCACGCACCGCACCGCACCGCACCGCGTGGATCGAGCTTTGGAAAGCGGGGTAGAATTTTATTGATGGCAGTTTTTGTTGCTCTTGTCAGCGGACAGTGGCGGCGGCGGACAGCAGTGGGAACGTGACCACTCACAGATTTACGTGTACATATGTCGACATGCCAGAGAAGATAGGGAAAGGGGCAAAGACAAATTTTTAAGAGAGATATTTCATAAATGAAGAATCAGTCGGATAATAACCAAAAGTTTACATTGTGAATACTACATCTTTATACATATGTATGTACATATGTAAGTATATAACTCAAAGTTCAGGCAAAGAGCAGAGCAACAGCGAGCGGCCTTAGCTTGTAAGCTGGTAAGAATTATCTAACAGGCAGAATGGGAACGCTTTATCATATGCATCAGCTACATATATATTCAATAGTACAAATATCTAATAGTAACTAGTAATTGATCTAAGGCAAACACTTCACAAGCCACAGTGCCCAGTCCCATCCCACAACCCAAAAATCTCCCTGCGAGTCCGCGCACTTTCCGTTTCCGTTTTCGTTGGCCTTTTTGCTTGGATTTCCGCGTTGAACCAAGTTGATTTAGCAATGAATGGTCAAAACTGAATGCGAACCGGGGGCAAACGGACAAGCAGAAGTTATGGGGGTGGTACCCGCCCACCCACAGGCAGGAAAATAAAAAACACAGACATAAGTCCACTGTGTGGGGTGTCGTGTCGCTCTGCGATGTTTGCTCAGGAGCTGCGGCAGGACCTGCTGACACAACGAGTCTCTAATTACGCGCAAGCAAACAAACAAAATTGCAGGTGTCAAAACAGGGAACAGGGAACAGGCACAGGAACAGCACGTAAACTGGAGGAACTGGAGGACTTCTTGAGTCATTTGTGATATCAATGCCAAGACGAATGGCAGTCCCAATACTGCTGCTGCTACTACTGCTGCTGCTCTGCGCTGGAAGCGACTCCGTCGGAGTGGAGTTGACCCAATTGGATGATTTGATGGCTGTGCCCACAAAAGACCTGCCACAGATGCAGCTGTGGCTGCGTTTGCGGCATCAGCATGGGGACGCCGCCAATGTGTATGTCCAGTGGTTTCTGCATCGCTCCCAGCTGCCCCTAATCGTGCGTGGCTACGAGGCGGATGAGGATCAGTGGCTGGACGATCCCCTCGGCCGAGAGAATCTGGTGCTGGTCATGACACTGGCGGAGCTTATCTCGAATCGTGGTGCAGCCGGGCCCAGTCAGCGCGCCGGCGTCTTCCTTTACATACTGGCCGATCAGAGTGAGGGACTCACGATGGAGCAGCAGCTCCAGCTGGAGGAGAGCTGCCGATGGCTGTGGATGCGCCACAAGATCTACAATCGCTACATCCTCTCCCTGGAAGGCATCTGGATCTACGATCCGTTCCAGCGCAGTGGACAGGCCTTTGGTCGCCTTGTCACCTACTCGGGCCACGAGCCGCTGTCCAAACATCTCTTCCACGACATGGCCGGCTATCCGCTGCGCGTGCAAATGTTCAAGTCCGTCTTCACGCGGCCGGAGGTGGACCCGGATACGGGCCTGCTGGTCAGTGTGACGGGCGTGGACTTCCTGGTGGCCCAGATGCTGCGGGAGAAACTCAACTTTACGCTGCTGCTGCAGCAGCCGGACAAGAACTACTTTGGGTAGGTGCAGGTGCTCCCCAATCGAACGATCCGTCCCTTCGAATGATTCTCTTCTCTTTAGCGAGCGCAGTGCGAATGGCAGCTACAACGGCGTCATCGGTTCGATCATCCAGGATGGCCTGGACATCTGTCTGACGGGATTCTTCGTGAAGGACTATCTGGTGCAGCAGTACATGGACTTCACGGTGGCCGTCTACGACGACGAGCTGTGCATCTATGTGCCCAAGGCGCACCGCATACCCCAGTCCATACTGCCCATCTTTGCCGTCGGCTATGACATCTGGCTGGGCTTCATCCTCGCCGCCTTTGGCTGCGCCCTGATCTGGCTGCTGCTGCGCCTGATCAATCTGCGCCTGAGGATTGTCAAGCTGCGGAATTCCGTCTGCAGGCAGGCCCTGGGCATCATGGTGGACACGTGGGTGGTTTGGGTGCGCGTGAATCTGTCGAGGCTGCCCTCGAGCTATGCGGAGCGCATGTTCATTGGGTCGCTGTGCCTGGTGAGCGTGATCTTTGGGGCCATCTTCGAGTCGAGCCTGGCCACGGTGTACATCCATCCGCTGTACTACAAGGACATCAATACGATGCAGGAGCTGGACGACAGTGGCCTGAAGGTCATCTACAAGTACAGCTCCATGGCGGATGATCTGTTCTTCAGCGAAACGTCGCCGCTCTTTGCCAGCCTCAACAAGAAGTTATCCTGGAATCACGACCTGTATGCGGATGTCATCGATGATGTGGCCCGGAATGGGGGCAAGGCTGGCGTCTCTCGCTACAACTCCCTCATGCTGGAGTCCTCGCTGTTCATGCTGCTGCGCCGCATTTGGGTGGTGCCCGAGTGCCCCAAGTACTATGCCATTTCCTATGTGATGCCGCGCGACTCGCCCTGGGAGGATGCCGTCAATGCGCTCATCCTGCGGCTTCTCAACGCCGGCCTCATCGTTAAGTGGATCGCGGACGAGAAGTCCCGCGTCAACATCCAGATGCGCGCCCGCACCCTAGAGGCCGAGGCCGAGGCCGAACTCGCGCGTGTCCTCACCATCGGTGACCTTCAGCTGGCCTTCTATGTCGTCCTCGGTGGCAATCTGCTGGCACTTCTCGGCTTCCTGCTGGAGCACCTCTGGCGCAGAGTCATCCAGGGGGTCGCCAAGTGAAGCTGCCAAGTTTATTTCACATGTTTTGGGTGCATCCGATAAGCACAATGTCCATGCTTGCATCGATTTCAGCATTCCTAAAGGTCTCTGCAATTATTCCCTCGGATTCCCTGCAACAATTCCGAATTCTTTGACATGCCCCCTCCCGCCCAAAACCACCACCAAAAAATAAACAACAAAATCAGAGGGAAGTACATACAGCATTTGGCAAATATGCAACCTCATCCAGTCTCAACCACGGAACAGCGCTGAAAATTGTTGACCGAATTGGGTGAACATTTTCATTTTGGCCTGCGACGTTTGCAAATTTCATTTGCCAAAGGCCAGCGGGCCAAATGGAGGCAGCAATTTAAGCACACACACACACACACACACACACGCCCTGAAGTGGAATGGGGTGGGGGAGGGGGCGGCACCGGGCTTATATATTTTAGACAAGTTAACAATGATACGCACCAGCAGCGATTGCCATTCTGGCCGGGCCAGCAGTCGGGGCCTGCGTCAAATCGAATTGGCAGCCTCCAAAATGCAGTTGGGAATTCAAGGCTCTCATTACAAATGCAAAAAGGACAAAGACAGTGGCGACTGGCTGCAAGCTACAACCATAAATGGATCCATAAATGGATCTATAAAATGTACTAAAGAAATTTTGGCTTGCCACCGAATGTTAGACGTCGATCGCTGAGGCTTCGGTTCTCTCCTCTCCTTGCCAGAGTCCGATTCCTATCTCTCTCTCTCTCTCTCTCTCTCTCTGTTAGCCGTGCAGATGCTTCCTCTCTCTCGGACTCCACAGACTCCACAGACTCCGTTACTCTTCCTCTTCTTTTACAATAAAATTGCTTTCGATAAATTAGCTATTATTTGCCTATATGTACATTTTTTTATCTCTGTAGCGCTTGCCACTTTCCACAGATCTTTACTGTGCGCATCTCCCGTGTGTTCATCTCACTCACATATGCGTCAATCGGTCACATCCAATATGTGTTTATTTGGCATTTCAGTTTCTGCACACGAAATGACAATTAAACAGCCGCAAACAGCGGGCTTTAACAGGGAAATAACAGTTCATTTAGGCATTCAAATTCGAATAGGACAAATGAGTGGCACCCAGATGACAACAGAGAGAGACAGATTCACCACATACTTACATATGTATGTATGTATACGTATGTATCCGCGAGCTCAGGGGCTGATGTCTTGGTCTCGTACGAGTATAAAAATACACTGATAGAAAAAAGGCATAGTAAAAATAACTACAATCATATTTGAATTTAAAATGCCATTTTTAAATACAAACATAGTAAAATTTAATAGCATTCACTTTGATTCAAATATAAATGTATTAAAAATGCTTTTATAATACGGTCATATTTAATCTAAATACAAAACACTTCAAAATAACTTTAATATATTAAATTTGTAGTTTAAAATGTTTCATATTGTAACGAACCATGGATCCCATGGTTCGTCACAAGCAGATGACGCAGCCAACGCTACTCCCAGGTGAAGCGATCAACACCCAGCAAAAATGCAAACTCAGCACACGCCAAAAGACAGGAGACCAGCAGAAGGGGCTTACGCAATAAGTACCTAAAATAATATTAAATAAATAAATATTCCTAACAATATATATTCCCGAAGTGCCAACGAAATTCCTTTCCCACGGTACCGGTGCACACCGATCACCTTACCTGGGACATTGGACACTTGTTGGGAGGCGATTGCTTAGGTAACCCTCGATTACCGGGCAAAACCCCCACATGCGCAAGCCAGTCAGCAGTCTCCGACTCTCCTTACCGGGGATATTGGACACTGACTGCAGGGCTAATGATTAGGTAACCTTCTGTTACCGATCAGCCCGTCTGCACGCGCAGACTATAATTCGGCAATATATATTTATGTAAGAACCCTTCCCACATTCTGGAGTAGAAATAAGATATCTGTAAGACATTCATGGGAAAATCGAAGGCCGGCCGATCTATAAAAGGCACTGCCTTGCATGAAGAAAAGGCAGTCCACCAGCCATCGTCGGAGTCAGTCAATCAGCCATCGTGGGAGTCAGTCAATCAGCCATCGCGAGGCAGTCAAATCACCATCCGCGTCGTAGTACAAGTAAACCTAACATAACCGGGTAGAATAATCATACGGAAGAATAAAGAGAACTATTAAAATTAAAAGAACCAAAAAGTGTTGTGATTTCTATTTCAGTTTTCTGGCAAAGTTCCTGGTTTCCCGATAAAGTCCTCGTGAATTATAAATATCTTGTAATTCAGGACCCTGGACAGGCTGATGCATACCTCAGCCTGAAATAGGACATTACAATATTTAAATTGCATATTATTATGACTTGATTTCAAAATTTTTCTTTTAAAATCCAAAGGAAAAACTTTTTATTTTAAATATTCCATATTAAATGAAATCAAATATTTTTTGTATTTATTTTAACTATGTTTATATTATTTTGTTATGTCCCTCGAATTCCCAACTAGTTCCAGCTGCTGCTGCCTTGAATGCACAGTAAAATTATCTTAGCGCAGGGGCATAATCACAACCAATGCAGTCCTACTCATGTTGCGATTATTTCTAGTTGAAAACTTTGACCAATTCACACCATGAGGACTTGAAATGTAATTTGCGTATGCAAAATAATAACCAATTAGTTAAATATGAATATATATATAAATATGAAACATATTAGATTTAAATATTAAACATATTAAATTTAAATATGAAGCATATTAACATTAAATATGAAACATATTAAATTTGAATATGAAACATATTAAATTTGAATATGAAACATATTAAATTTAAATATGAAACATATTAAATTTAAATATGAAATATATTAAATTTAAATAATTCTATATTAATATCAAAATTTAAGTGAAAAATATTCAATATTAATACAACCACTCTTGGATGAAAATCAATGGCATAAATATTAAAATCTAAGTGAAAATATTAAAATTTCAGGGCTTTTTTCTATCGGTGTATATATTCTATATTCTGGCGAAGAAGCACACCGGCTGTTTCTAGGACGAAACTCCCACAATCCCCTTCCATTTTAACAGAGCATGACAATACATTAATAAATAAAAAAGAAGTAATCAAATTTTCTAAAATGAAAATATAAAAAACTTGAGAAAAATCCTTACAAGCTTGCGCCCAAAATTGTAAATTATTACAAAATTTATACGATAAAATATTAGACACTAAATCTATAATTTTTGGTACGTTTTACAGCGCATACAATTTGCATGGTTTATTCGCATAACAATAATAGTTAGTTTATTTAATTAGTAATTACAGGTGCGCATGCTAATATAAATTATTTTCTAATCAGTGCAAGCAGTTGGCCAACAAATGTCGAGACAAAAAGTTTTCAACGAGTTGGCAGCTCGTTCCCTGAAGTTATATGGTGAGCAAGTCGGCCATGTGCTTGATGTCAAAAAATTGGCTAATACTTTCACACAACGAAAATAAGTTGACTAGTTGTAGTTCGACCATTTGATAAGCTCTGAATATTCGCCAGGGATTGGTAAGTAATTGTGTGAAATTCGGATTTTGAGAGCATGACCAGCAGCCGCCCTAAAATTCCCGCTTTGGCTTTGCAGCGTCAGGCAGGCAGCAAATAAATCAACGAACTCTCAAAGAAAAACCGAAAAAAGGGCAAGATGGATGTCCCTGCGCCCCCAACGACAATTGAGCAGAGAATGCTGATCCAGAAGCAGCGTGAAGTGAGGGACGAATCGCGAAGTTTTCGAAAATCTGTTGCCGAGCAAATACGCCAATTCGCCAAGGATGATCGGGCGTTCATCGAGTTTGAGGCCGCGGATTATGTTCACCGCATGATCATTTATGATATTGCGGTCAACGCTGGCCTCGTATCGCTCATTTTTGATTGCCAATCGGTGGTATACAAGCGTGAGCATTACCCCAGCGAGGATGAGATAAAGGCGCGAAAGAACGGCGAGGGCTGGAGCGAGGAGAAAGCCAAACAATACGCCGAAAAAAGAAAAGCGCAATTGGCCCAAAAGCAGTGCGATAAAGCGGCTACCCGAGCAGTGCCGTGCTGCCCCACAAGCCCAGACAATACAAGGGGCAAGGCAAAGCCTGCGACTGTCTACATGCCAAAGGCAGTCCGATCTGATGGGGATATCAATGGCCCGCCAGACGGCAAGCAAAACTAAGAGAAAAGCCAGACAAACTCTTTTGATTCTATCATAAGATAAATAAAAATAAATCAACAGAAAGGGCACAACAACAAAAGCATAAGCAAACGTTATTTACACTATTCGTTTTGTTGTATATAGCTGTATACATATATGTCCGCCATCTGGAATCTCTTGGCGTAAAGGATGAGGTTCGTCTTGCACGCGCTAATATTGAGTCCTGCTCCTGCCGCACACTCATACATACATATGTGTTCGTGTGAGGGTCGAATTTCTGATAGCCAGTCGAAGCAGAACATTTGCACGGTTACGAATACGTGACGGGAATGCTAATGAAGTGGACCTTGAGTTTGCCTGATTTAAATATCGCCCGAACTTCTACTTCTTGCTGTCGCTGTGGTGGAAAAAATGGCAGTTTAATGATCTCGTTAATGGCAAATGAAAAATCACGTAGTAGCTTTTCCCTCTTGGTCAGCAGTTTGGTTCAGCGACCGATCTGACACATTTATGGTAATTCAATGGCTTTGATTGACTTTCGGTTTCGTGTCCATGAATTTTAATGAATGCCAGCCATAGGCCAGCCAATAAAAGCCATGGCCAAAAAAAGGCCATAAGTGGTTATAGACTAATAGTCTATGACTTTATTACCAGATTGTGACACTTAAACACACAAATTGTACATAATTGTAGTGCTTGCAGAGGTTATTCCGTCGCTATGTAGCATCAGATCCGTATGAGAAGCATAACTGCGACCGATCGGTCGAATAAAAAGACCCACGGAGTGGAGCTGGAGTGGTATGCACTGCTGCTGCTTTCGCATCTGCCTGGGGGCCTGGTGGCGCATCACGGAATCGTTGGAATTCCAAGACTGGAGCGGCTAAAAATAAACCAAATCAAATGGGAAAAAAGTGGGAATCGAAAAAACCGGCGTGGCGCGCGCGTTCATATTGAGAAACAACCAAAATTTTTGGTTTATTTCCAAATCATAACTTTTGTTTATCTTTAGCTGGTTCTGGTTCTGGTTCTGGTTCTGGTCTGCCGTTGCCCGATGCTAAGCCAGCTGCTGCTGCTTCTTCTGGGTCTTTACACTCCTCTCCATTTTGTTGGAAGCAGAGATGGCAAATCGGATTGATTCGTGCGTGACCGTGCAGAGCAGCCAAAGGAAGAGCAACAGCTCGTAGAATTGGATGTTTTGATGACCAAAACTGACACCAAATAGTTAATAAGAACTGATACTCCTCTGGTAGTATTATTTATCCGATTGCAGTGATTATCTTATTTTGTCTGCAATGCTTATCCTTGTTTTCATTTCTGGTTTATCTTTGGATATTTTTTTTTATTTATCGGAGTCTTTTTAAGTTGGTATTTACAGCTCAAAAGGCTAATATTCAGACAGACAGGAGGCTGGACATGGCTGAATTCAGAATCGACTCGCATATTGATACTCCTAAATCTAGTTTTTGCTTCGAACATCCCGTTCCGTGGACCATCTCTAGTCGGGGTTTTCGACTGTGCGCCGCTGCCTCGGGACGCTGCTTCTGCTGCTGCTTCTTCACACTGCCTGTGTCCGCGACCGCGTTCGGTGTCGTCGTCGTTGCTGCAGCAGCAGCCAACAGCCCACAGCCACTGCCACAAGGCAAACGAGAGAAATTCATTCCGATCTGTTCCGTTTTTTTCATACGCCGGCTAAGTGTATTTATTTTTAATAACAATTTTATTTCATTTGGCTCCATAATTCCCGTAGTCGCGCGTGTCTGTGTCTGTGGATTTTTGGCACTGGCATCTACAAATTTGATTAGGAATACCATTTACATTCAGTTGGCCAGCGATCGGTTGGCAGAGAGCGCCGCGTGTCAAAGTAAATTTCAGTTTCCAAAGTCTTCACAGTCTGGCTCCTTGGAAACAACTCCCAACAGAGAATAATACAATTTTCAATCCCATTTTTTTTGTCTGTGTCAAATATACCTACAATTGGCTTGGTGAAATTAAATAAGCGAGATGCATTTAAAGCAATAAATTGCCACGAATATAATAATATTTTGTTACCGTGCTTTTTGTTATTGTTTTTTTACGGTGAGTACAGACACATTCTCCCTCTCTTTCTATTGTCTCCAGCTGTTTTTGTTGTCTCGTATTTTTGTTGTACATATGTTTTTTTGTTGCTGTCTGTTTTTGAATCTTTTTTTCTGTTTCCAACTGTTTTCGTGTGTGTTTTTCTACAAAACGAAAATGTTGTATTATTCTTGATAGTGAAAAATTATGGTAATTTATTTTGGCTCCCTTGAAATGTCTACCACGACTAGGGGAATACCCTGGAGTGTTTGATTTTTCTTGACTCCTAAAAGTATGCAAATAAATATAGCTAAGAATAACCTAAGTTCTCTTTCTGCTTTTAATTCTGAAAGATTTTACTTTGAAAAAGTTTAATTTTCGCTTTTCATGTGTAATGGAATTATTTTAACAATTTATATAGCTCTTAGGCAGTCAGCAATGGTTCCAGTGGAGTGCAGTGGATACTAGGAGGTTGCAGGAATGTTCGAGAGAGTATGCACAGAACTGAACAAATTTAAATGGGAAAGATGTATGAGAAATATATCTGCATATAATGAACTTTTATCCCCTTAAAATCCTCTCCAGTTCAGTGATAAATAGCCCGTTCCGATAAGCTACATATGTATATATCCATGCAATCCTTCAAGTCTTTTCCCTTGCATACTTTTCAGCCTACTCAAACAGCAGTGTAACCAAAGTGGAACCCAAGCAACTCTACCCATTGCAGGGTACTTCCTTAACAGTGACGTCTCTCGTAGAAACATTATCCAATTAGTTTATATTGAGTCGATCATGTTTATGTGTGATTGTTTTAACTTGTTTCTGTGGCGTCGGAAACAAGCCGCAAATTGTTTCAATTCGAATGGCCGCGCATGGTCATTTTTAAATATCGAAAAAGCCACTAATGTATTAATGCGAATTTATTAAATTCCATTCGCCCTGCTGGGTGCTGGTGCCACACTGCTGGGCGATACCGAAATGCGGTTCCAGAAAACCGATTTTGACACCTAGTGTGAGTGGGGGCGGATGTTGGACACGCCCACGGGCATTCAAGCTAATTGGCAATCATAATTATTAATGTGGAAATTATTTATGGGGAAATACCAATGCAAATGGGGAGGAGGATCTGATTAATGGACCAAGTCGGACAGGGTAGTAGTGTTGATCGACATAATGCGTATTGTACTCAATATTTGTTATGCTTTAAATGATGGGAGTGGGAGCTACATGTATGTATACGTAATAGTTGGCTTTAGTTTATATGAACCACTTCAAGGACTATAAATAGTGACAGAAATCGATTTACAATATATGTAAGAAATTGTGGAGATATTTTGCTTTACTTATATATTATCACTTGTACTACTCACGCGGATGACTTTACCTTCTGATTAATCTACCCTGCACTGGGTACGTATCTGGGGGATAGGAACAGGGAAACGTTTCTCTCTGTGCCTGGCCCTCTCTTTGCATGGTTTCCGTATGCCATTTACCTTATGCGCTGTCATGTCAGCTGCAACTGTGAATTTACTTGAATATTTCGATTTAGGAATAAATTGGAAATGGAACATAGGAGAGCAAGAGGAGGATTGAGAATGGCAGATGGCAGCTACGATAATGCTCCATGCTCCTTTTTCTTACTCCCTGAATTCCAGCATGTGAAAGTTTTCTGTTTATTTTTTGTCAACATTCTATGCGGTTCTCAGATGTAGAAAAAACTTCGGGAGGATGTAGTTTATTGTTTTTTCTTCCAGCGCCATTTTTCTCCGATGTAAACACTAAAACTTAGATTTAAAATAGAAATATATTGCCTGAAATTATATTATATTATATTATATATAGAAATTAATTTCGAAACACAAAAGCTAATGGAGTTTTCAAGCTTATTCAATAAAATAAATAAATAATAAATAAATAGTATTTTCCAAGAGTCTTTTATGTGCCTTCGGGATACATAGATATTGGTAGATATTGGCCTTCCCTCACCTCCGGCTAACCTATTCATTTTATCCGCCTACACTCTCTCTCTTTGTCTCTCTGTCATTGTCGAAATCGGTGACGATCGCATGTTTCGTGAATGCAATGCTCTCTGGAAATGCTTTACCGTGCTCCTGCTTTTCTCACCTACATACTCTCTCTACAATGCTGACGAAGCTGCCAGCCGAACCGAACCGATAACCTACTGATCGTGCAGTTTTTCCACCCATCGGCACTCTCTCTCTCTCTCTCTCTGTTTAAATAGAAAATTCCATGAGCCGATCGCGCACATTGTTGCACAGTCTTAGAGTCACTGGGGGGCCGCCCCCACGATGAAGCACGAAATGGAAAGTAAAAGAAAACATTAACCGGACAGCCATCAGCGCAAACAGTCGTGAACGAATAACGGGAAATGCGAAAGGCCATCCAGCGGGAAATCCAAAAGATTTGCTCTGCATACACACACACACACAGACACATACACACTCATAATTGTGCTCGTAGTCTCGTATATTATTTTGCTGCACTTAAATGTGAAATTTACTCAAATAATTGCTGCCAAATCGAATGGAAACTGAATGGGAGAGCCGCCAGTGAAAAGTTGAAAGAAAATTCGGATTCGATTGGAGAATTTGTGAGGAAAAAACAAGTGCAACATTGTGCGGTCAATTCGCCATATGAATATCTAGTTTATTTACATGTACGGTACAAATTTACATACATACATATGTATGTACATATGAGATTTTTCCTTATGTCACAGCTTGATGGATAGTTTTCCGTGCGATCCCTGTGTGTAATATTCTTCATACATTCTTTTATTGTGGATTTTGTTTTGGTTTTGGGCTAAAATTAATTTTAGCCATTTGCCGATGCAGTCCGACTGCAGGCCAAATAACGCGGAAAAATGTTCGCCCAGTAAATACATCTTCGGATTGAAGAGTGAAAGCTTCAGAGACATACAAATACGACAGTAAAAAAAAAAAAAAAAAAAAATACCCACTATATAGTGCAATCATGCCGGAAATCTTGAATGCTATGGAAATGGAGGCACCGTCGGAGATTGTGGACATCTGTAAGTTCTTTTGGTTCTTTTTGTTTTCTGTTTTAACTATATTTATTATATCATCAATGATTGTGCCACACATCCGATAATACACTTCCTATTCGGGCTATTCCCATTTGCTGTCAAACTGAATCAAATCATCATCTGAACATAATCTAATGCCAGATGATTGCTGCTTGTATAGAGTTCTGAATTTCATGTACTTACAAAGAACTTTTATGTTATATGTTTTCAGTAAATATATTATTCCCTGTTCAGTCTTTCCTTGTGATCTAAATGTTTTTTGTAGTGCTTTGTCATGGGTCAATTCCTTCCATCTTGAACTTTAAACATTGAAGCAACAAAAATTTACCTATACTACACTGATCCTGCAGCTATAATTTGGTATTTTGTAGACCAGCTGTCATACCCTGCTTTTATTGATTGGGCATACCTTTCAATGCGCTTTTATCTGCATCGATTTTCAGGGACCCGGGTATAATCTTTATTGTCAATATGTATCTATCTACTATATCTAAATACACGGCAAAATACAGAGATAAACAACAGTCTAAATGAAAAACTTTAGTATTCAGCAGCTTTAATTTGATTTTTAGCAATTGTTCGTGTTATTGCTTGATGTTGTATTGAAATTTTGCTAGCTGAGACTAAAAAAAAAGAGAAGAAACGTGTGAGTCGCTTCTGGGGACGCGACTCTACTTTTATGCCCGTACTTAGTCAGTATATAAATTTTTAAGCTTATGATTTATGTAGAATTTTAAAATATTATAAATTTTTTTTTTGCTACATCTGTTATGTACATCTACATCTAACACGTTTATTCTACATCTGTAATGTAGATTATACATCTACAATGTAGATTCTACATCTTCTCTGCGAAAGGTCGCGCATTGCACAGGGCAGAGTGTACGAGTGAGAAAGAGAATGAGTAGCGTGTTCTCTTTATTCTTTATTTTGCATATAATAATTTTCCGATCTGATTCAGATTCGGCGATCTGGTAAATATGGCAATTTTCTACGATACTGCGTTTTTAGTTTTATCGTATCATTAAAATAAAGGAGTCTAGCTCATATAGTCTCTGAGATCTAGGCGACAAACCAGACGGCCAGACGAACAGACGGACAGACAGACAGACGGACAGATAGACAGACGGACAGACAGACAGACATAGACTTGGCTAATCAAGAATCTATACTTTATGGGGTCGGAAACGTTTCCTTCTGTGTGTTACACACATCCACTTTTACCACAAATCTAATATACCCCTTAACTCTTTTCGAGTACGGGTATAAAAAAGACACAAAAGAATTCCCAACAAAGAATTCTTGTTGCTTGTTTGTCCAGCAATTTCGACAGACCGGAATGAGATAAAGAATTTATTTGTATTTGATTTCGAATGCACTTTCCGTTTTACACTCGATTATGTTGAAAGCATTTATACTTTATGCTCCCACGCTGAATACTGCTGAATGGTTGTGTTGCTTTGCTACCGTTGCCACCTGCGGACATCAAAGCGATTTCCAAACACAAAAGCCAGCCACCCACCACACAATTTTTCCCAGCAATATAAAAAGAGTTTCCTCCTGTTCGCACTAGCTTTCCACCATCACCACCACTACCACTTCTACATACTTCGTCAAGTGTTCAGGGCCACCCATCGTGCCGGTAATCGGAATTGCTTGGGATTCGCATTTTGAAATACATTTCTGCCCCCCAAAGAACTCGCATCACATGGCCCTGCAATTGCCTGGCAATTAATTTCATATAACAAGTGCGATTATCATATCTGGATAAATAAATAAAACCCATTATATTATTTAAAACAGCTTAGCGAAGCATCTGCGCTTGAGTGGTACTTACTGTACATATGTATGTACAGTGCGCTTCGAAACTACAAAGCTCCAGATACTGTATATTACGGATAGTAGAATAACATCAGAAAATCGCATGTATTTTATTTAACCGCTCATTGTGCGATTATTGAACAATAAAATTCTGCCACCGATTTTTCAATTTGGATAAAAACCTTCGTGAGATAAAACATTTGTTGTTTGCAATGAAAATTCAATAACAATAAAAATGTAATAGATTTAACCTTTTGCTGCGAGATGTTTATATAAAATACAAAGCACATGGAAAAGAGTTCAGTTTGAAGTATCGTTTATTTTTCCTTTGTTTGAAATAAATAAAATAAAATATTTACGCATAAAGTGAGTCGATGGAAAACCGTAAGAGGAATTTAAATCAATGAATAATTAAATATTTTTTAAAACAAGGAAAAAGGCCATAGTTATATCCGATATGCTATTACCACAACCATATCCGTCCCCCTGTATATCATCAGCATCAAACTGTTCTACCGAAAACCTTTAGAAACCGATTCCCAGACCTTTTATTTTCGGCCTTGCCCTCTTTGCTCTGGTCTCCATAAAACGGAACAAGTTTCTTTTATTTTTGCGCTAAAGCGGAAATCATAAAAAAAAGAAAAGACCGAGAAATCGTATATGTTTTTCGGAAAAGAACTCAAAACTTTCTGCTCGCTATATATGTGTGTGTGTTTATTATTGTTTATTGTCTGGTTGCCCCCGTGTGTAGGAGAGTGGAGGGGGGTGAATGCGAAATCTGTTCATTTAGCTGTCAGTCCCCCCAGGCGCTGTCTGGAATGGATCTCAATCTCTGCCCACTGCTGTTTGATCGATTTCCAACGTTGCAGAAGTCCGAAATGGGGCCAATGACAGATGCAAAACAATATTACACTCTGCTGCACGAAAATTATTTTTCCATTCAGAAGTAGATGCCTCTCGGTTGGAAGTAAACAGTGGTTCCAAACAATATAAACCAGTCAAGTAAAACTAAAATTTTAAAATATATTGAAAGAACTAACAGAAGTTATTAAAAATAAAGCTATTCAAATCATTAAAATAAAGCTATTAAACATAAAGCCAACTGTTTATAATTCATATATAATTACTGTATAAAACCAAAGTTTACTCAAGAAAAATCTGTGGTATTTCCACAACTTAAAACATTTTCACATTTACTGGCAGCAGATGGCGCCGCACAGGAAGGTGTTTCCCCTGCCATAAAGTTCATCAAGTTCACAGATCCCTCAACGTAATTACATTTTGGATTGATAACTCACAGAGGCATAAATCTTGCCCACAATATATTTATTTCTATCTTTATCGGGAGCGTGAGAGACGGAGGAGTGGCATTGAGCGTAGAAATGACCTTGATTCGGGACAATTTATGGCTGATTGGTGTGGTTTATCCATCACACTGCAATTGCCAGTAGCCACAGCCCCGGTCCCTGTCGCAGTCGCAGAGTCCCGAAGCGTTGAGACGTGAAACTGAAATGCTGAAAAGTTGAAAGCCGAAAACCAAAACCAGAGATCTAAACAATGTCTGGAACATGTTTCTATTGCATATAGCAATTTTGTTTAGATTGCGTCCCGTTTCTCGTCAGAAATATATGTACATACATATATACATGTGTACATATATTTTGCCTCTATCTAAAGAGAACAATTTACATGGGCGGTACGTCGTGGTACAGGAGCGGGACAGGAGGCGTGTATTTATGCATATCATTAATATAAATATTTTGGCTCTGGCTTTTCGCATGCGATTTTATGAGTTTCTGTAAATTTCTTTTTTGCTTATGTTTGGTTATAAAATTACTTGTTTTTCGAGCTGAATTATAACAATAATAATTGTTTGGCCATTTGGCCTCTGTGGCGAATAGATATAAACCCCACTAGGTACATCCCATGCATATGGTAGCACGAGTAGTAAATGTCTATGGGGAGTATAAGCAGAGCGCAAGTTTAAACCAGATTTTCCTCTATCTGGAAATACCTGGAAAATGTTTTGTGCGCTTCTTGAACTATTTGGCATTGGATCATGTCGATGCGTAGAAATTATGGCAATACGATTTTGCATACTTTTTCGCATTCCTGGAACAACCCAAAAAGGGATTCGTTACAGAATTTCCCCTGAGAAATTATTTTCCACTCATTTTTGTCCAATACATTGAATTGAAATTGTTTCTTAATTTTCCATTTTAAAACCATTTCTAATCAATTTTGAAATACGTCTGCAATCCAATTCCATCATAGTTGGCGTTATTGCCTTTATGGCATTAACAATGTTCAAAATGTTTGGCTGTTTATCGTTTTCTGTCTCATTTTTAATGGGGCGCAAATTTACAGTCCTAACGCTTAAAGCCCCCAAGTCCCCATGTGCCTCTCTGAGCAATAATCATAATAATAATAATTGCAAGTGCTCTCTGGTCATTTGTTTAAATCAAATGCAAAATACGAATATTGATGCACAATTAACGGCTCGCAGACTGCGCTAAAAGCAATTCAATGCTGCCACACATTTTCCATAGACAAATTTTGATGCTCTTGCAGTTCGAAGACCAAAAATAAATTAGTGCTTCCCCAAAGCAAATTGCTGCAATAATTTCGAACGATAATGGAGTGTTTTGCTAGCTTTGTGCCAGCCTAATTTGCAATTATAAAAGTGCTGAAATTGATTAACTCTCGCAGCTCTGCGTAAAATTATAATAAACCGAAGTTCATAAATTGCAGAAATCTCTCAAAGTGCTGTACTCCCACATTTTAGAAACATGACATTTTTATATATTTTTTTGCGCGAAGTCTTTGGGTTAAGTTGATATTGGGTTGGCTTAAGAACAGCTGCATATAAAATATATCAGTTAAACCATAATTACCTCTTCAAGGCGTTTCCGAGTACAAATGTATTGTCAATATGTTGGGTATTGATTAACTTTTGCATTAATGTCATCAAGTTAAATGTGCACAAAATCGGTATGAAAAAAAGCATAAAATAAAAATTCGAGCATATTAAAAGGGCATTTTAGAACTTTCGTAACGATAAAAAAATACAATAAAAAAAATCCACATTTGCCCCCTTTTGGACCACGCCCAGCCTGTTGCACTGCTCTTGTCGGGTGCGACATTTGTTGCCACTTCGGAGCCACAAAAAACTATGCAACAAATAAACACGACCAGCAACAACAAGTGCAGCATCGTAAGAGAAACAAAACCGCACCACTGTGGCACGAAGGGGGAGGCTGCCTGCTGCTGCTGCATTTGGCTGAAAGCCAGAAATTAGCCAACCATGTCGTGGGGCAGGAGATGGGGATGGGAACGGACTGATGTCAAACATGGGCGTAGTGTAGAGGGTCTGCCCACACTCAACAGATCTTCTCTCGACCTATGTACGCTTCTCGAGAGCAGCTCAGGTCCAAACAAAGGTCTCTCCTTTATCCCCTTCTCTCTTCCCATCCAATCTTCCTCTCTTCCACTGTGCATATTGCAACAAGCTCCGTTGCAGCTTGCAACAAGCTAAGCAGCTGGCTGAGTAGATAAATCAAATGAATTGCATTTGTGGCAAAGGGAAGATGACAGTCCAAAAGCTGTTGAGATGATAAGTAAGTGGAGTCTGAGATTCTTTTTCGTGTATTTGCCCAGCACTTTCCCTCGGATGCTTTCACAACACTTGATTAGCCGAAGAGCTATTAGCTTTCTTTAGTCCATTCACAGTTGTTGGATGTGTTGCCATGAAATAAAAGTTGGGGTGGAATAATAATATAAACTATGGGGAAAGATAAAATAACTTGCTTTGGATGCTAAGGTTTTGAGTAATAATTCAATTAAAATAACCAAAGATGATATAAGATCTGCATTCAAGAAATTCAATCAATAGAAAAGGATTTATTAAAATACAGAGTAGCGCAGGGAAATAACAACCATCACTGCTCCTACATACATACATAAATATATTCATAGGTCTCTGAAATGCTTCTGGCTTCCATATGCACACATTTCGCTATACGAGGATATAGTTTGCTTCATAGTTTGCTTACTTAAATTATTCCTTAAGCTTCCTTATCCTGCCCATCAATTATTTGATCACATATGTGTGATCTCCCGCTCTCCCAGATCTTATAGAGTTTAAAATTTCCAGTGAAACTTTTTCCCTTCTTCAAACACTTGGGCATAGACTGAGATCTGTGTAGTATGTCGTACTATGTAGCATCCACTCAACCAGCGCAATGTGGTGTGTTGTGATTTTCTGGTCTATTCATTTTTAGCCCATTTACGACAACTCGTGAGCAATTTACCCAACACTGGCTGAGCGGCAGCTGAGCAAATTGCATTTCGTACACCATTTTCCAGCACTCAAAGTGCAATCCATGCACTTTTAGCAATACAACAAAAATTTATTTAATTTACGCTTAGGTGGCAGGGCAAATGCTCTGCCACGGTAGCTAGAGAGGAGGGCCACAGGCAGATAAATGGAGAGAGAGAGGGGGAGAGGGAAAGGTAACTCGAAAGAGAAAAGCAACATAGACAGAGTGGGAGTTGATTTTCACCTAACATTCCACCCCATTCGCTTGGATTTGGCACATTTGGCACAGTGCCTTCGATATTTTTCGTCTCCGAATGATTTACGGGATGATGTGTGAAAAAAGAAAGGGGAGCGGTGGTGAGGGGAAAAGCTGCAGCGAGATGGAGAAAAGTCAAGCGAAAACTTGTCAAAAACACATGGGAATGAATTTCTCGTAGGCGAAGAGGGTGAAAGGGTAGTTTTCCATTTGCTATTTGATGATGGCTTTGATGGTCGAATTTGTGTCTGGGATTTCATTTTATTTTCGAATTGAATTCTATTTCCGTTTTGTATTTCTTTTCACAGCAGCTGTCAACGTTATTACTATCATCAACACCAACAACAACAGCAACCACAGCAACCACAGCAACAACAGCCACAACATCAACAACACCAACAACACCAACAACACCAGCAATACTAACAACAATACCAACAACGTTAACAATAATAACAACAACAATAACAACACCAACAACAATACTGAAGTGGAAACAGAACTTGGCCCGGGCGAACTTCAGCTTCAACAACTTCACCAACAGCAACTGCAATCGCTTCAACTTCAACAACAACAACACCAATTGTCACCACATTTTGTCACCATTCCCCTGCTGGAGCGTCGCCGCCGCAGCCGCAGTCACAGCCACTGCCGCATCGCACCCCTGGCGCCCATCATTTGCATCCAGAACGGATCCCATCCTGAGGAGCTCGTCCAGCTGTCGCGGTCGCGTTCCTGCTTTCTGCGCGTTCGCAAGAGCTTCGCCAAACGTGAGTTGAGTCCAGTGAACCCATCTATCCGTACCCCACTCCTGCTTCATAACTCAAACGCCTCTATCGTGGTCATCTCTCTCTCTCTCTGACCAGGTTAACCACAATCACAATGAATGTGAAAAAGCGAATTGAGCTATGGAAATTTTATTGATTGAGGTTTGGCAGAGAAACAGTGGTATGGAGCATAAAGGAGCCGTAAAGTAGCAGCGGAACTACCAGTTTAATGTCTCAAAGATAGTCGTGGGATTTTAAGAATATATTCTCAGTTTTCAGACATTTGTTATAGCTAAGCTGGGTTTGCTTTGCCTTTGTATTTAAGGAATAAATTCGATCTTCGGATCGTTCTTTGGTATGTCATTCGTTTTTGTATCCGTACAAAATCGAGCGGATATTTAAACATAGCTCCCATCTTTACAATTATTGTACCATTTCTACCTTTCACCTGCAAGGATAAGAGTTTTTGAAGAGTTTATAGAAAAAATATCAGTATTTGCCTAAATTAATATTTAAATTTATATAAGACCGAGTGATACCTTCTAGGGCACTTTCATTAGGCAGATTATGGGGTTAACCTGGTCAAAGAGGAGCCACTCTGCCACTGCACTACGAGTTTAATTTCCTTCCTTTTTTTTTAAATCTACCCAAGCCAAAAAAATGGTACTCGTATATATTTATCTTTACCGCCCTGCACTTCCATTTAACCCTTTAACCGTCTATTTTCACTTACCCCAATCTATGTTCCCACTCGCTCCCGCTCTATGAACGAGTATTGAGGATGAGGATGGGAATGGGTATGGGGCCAGCACTTTAACTCTGTGTCAGCGCTTTTAATTGAATTGCAGTGATTTCTCGTCATTTTGTTACTGTTTTTCGCTGCTCTTTTTTGGCCGTGGGACGTCGCTCCTTTCGGATATTGTTGTTAACCCCTTGGCTGTATCTCTCTTAAATCGTTTTCTTGTTTTCTTTCTCTCTGTTTGTCGCACTTTTTCCACAGTTTTTGGCAAAATCATGGGCAGCAATAATCCCAGCGAAGCGGATCGATATGACTATTATGACTGTGAGTAAAATGCAAACTCATTTCCATATCATATTTTCCTTACCTATTTTCTCCCTTTTTTTGCGCTCTCTTCGATTATCGTTCAATATACATTTTTTTATGGGGATTTTACTTTTCTTCTTTCATTTTTTTATATTATTTTTTCCTTCTTTGTTTCTGTGGGGAAAAATACAATCAAGTGGGAGTTGGGATGAGGTTGGGGTTTGGGATTGCATGGGCGGAGAAGGTAGGTAGATTGAATGGAAATCTGTCAGTCATTAAGCATCAAGTACGCAATTGACGGGGAGATAAATGGATACACTTGCACGATGTGCATCTCATATTATACATATATATGTGTTTGTATGTGTGTATGTAAATATACACGTTGGTTGACTTACAAACAGTGAAAACTCTTGTGGCGTACTGATCTCCGGGGAGTACTTTCTACTGGGTCGAGCAAAATAATTACTACAACTCGATGCGCGATTTATAAATTAATTTGCGACAAACTAAGGTAAGGTACGATGTACATATGATTGAAAATTTGAAAAGGATGGGAATGCCAGCTTGTAGTTTATGTAAGGCGCTGACACTTTCAATTAAAGCAGCAGAACTATATCAGATGGGCATTAAATCTGCTTCTCCCTTGAGTGTCTGCCCAAGAGAATCCCCACTGTGCACTTTTGCGGGAGATGTGGCATCTCGATATTCTTGATTGTCAGAGCATCGACTGCTTTCGTGGAGTGCCAATTATTGAATAAGTGCAATGAATGTCGAATTCGTTTCTCTTCAAGCGCTGAATTTTCGTGCATCACAATTGAAGTCAGACAACGTATATGAATCTGTATCTATTTGTATCGAAAATCGGTTGAGTTAATCGTCTGAAAGAAACATTAGTTACTTTACAAAAGTAAGATACGGACACATGTTGCTCCTACGCGAAAGAGTTCCCCATGATTTCCCATTGATTGATTTGGAGGCTAAATAGCTCATGAAAGTGCAGAGACGCTTGGAGGAGTGAAGCAGCAACACAGTTTAAACTGGGCAGTCTCTATGCCACTATGTTCGAGTGAATTCGGCGCAAAGATACAAAATCTGCTCAACAGAGATCGTAAGAAAGGCCTTAAGCGGAAGGTCACTCTAATGATCCCTTTCACCACTCGGCCTGGGGGACATTAATGAACATCTTTGTGGAGCACATAGCATCTCCCATATGGAAAACTATCCGAACAGGCATGTCGAAATCATATTGGATGTCTGACTATATACACAGTTTGATACATTGCTCTGAACATTGTATTATTCTCTCAATGTCTATTTTTTTTTAGGCTTTTTATGCTTTATGCGTTCACTTCAACTCATTTTTGCATTTGTGTCTGACTTCCTTCTGTCTCCTTCTGTGTGTGTGTGTGTTTGTGTGTGTATTGTCTGTCCCTGCTCTGCCTCTTCTGTCTTCATCTGTCGCTGAATGTGCCTGTCTCTGTGGCACTTCAAATTGCGGCAAGTGAAAGCTATAGCAGAAAATCAATAAGACACCAGAGACAGTGAATGTGGGAAGCAGAGGGAACGCTCAGAGTTAGGGAGCCTAAGCAGGAGCAGGAGCCGTAGAAGGAGCCAGAGCAGAATGGTTACACGGGGTGGTTCCCAGAGCATAAGTACTATTTATGTTGGTATCTAAATATCTACACTCATCTGTCAAATATCACGTTTCCTGTTTACACTTCTTGCTGCCTCAATATGCCCAGGGATTCCCCTATTCTCCTCTCTCTCTCTCTCTTTTACTCCTTCTCTGCTGCTTCCCCTTTTACTCCGATATTTCTCTGTCTTTATCCTCAGAAGCACCTCCTTTTGGCAGGGTTCTGTGCTCTTCTGTGTTTGTATTTGGCATGTTGAGTGTTGAGTGGCATTTTCCTTTTCCCTACTCTTGCTACTCACTTTTCCCCCGCGTTTGTGTTGTGTTGTCGTTGCTGTTTTTGTTTGTTGCTTCTACCAAATGCAAACAACAAAAACAGGAACAACCGCCCAACAATAAACTCAACTGCCAAAAAGTTGGGGCATGCCACACGCGTACAACAAACAGAATACCAAACATTTTCACCAAACCTACAATTTATGCACAAAAGCTAAAAAGCAAGTTGTCTCTGTCTTCTCCTCTGTATCTGTATCTGTCTCTTTCTCTGCCTCGCTTTTTCTCCTGTCTGTTTTCACATTTCATTTCTCGTTTCTCGGAGTTCCTCCGTGTGAAATCAATAATTTGGATTTAATAAAAAATGAAATGATGCGTCTCAAATTTGAGAAGCTTTTTAAAGTTCTCCAAATTTACAAAGGTCTTTAATATGCCGAAATTCTTTGAATAACAGAAAAGGACGTGTAGAGATTTAAAATATCTGAGGGAAAAGACAAGCATATTGAAATTGTGCTTAAAAAAACAAATTTAATTTCTAATAAAATAAATGAATAAGCAAAATTATAAGCCATAATAAGATTCCCATTTAAAACATAAAAAAAAACAAAGTTAATCATAAAAATTAATTTAAAGCGAATTGTATGTATGTATCTAAAGTGTATACAAAGTGTTTACAATAAATAAAAATTTTTTTTAATAATAAAAATATATATAATAGTCATATAACACAAAGAGCAATTAAAAATATTTATTTAAAAAACAGAACTTTGTGCTAAAGTGTCTGGACATCCATTAATAAATATTAACCACGATTAACCATAGCGAACATTTTAAAAAGTTACCAGAAACCACAGAACAAAACAAAACCTGACCCAATGAAATGGAAAAAAACATTAGCGTTAAAAATATTATAAATATTATTAAAAACCAACTATATCGACTGAATATAGAATATATTCGAATGGAATAGCAAAATAAATGACTGATTAAAATTCTCCTTCCCTGAAAATGTCTTGGTATGTAATTGATTTGCGTTTGTGCGCGTTTTAGCTTATGCCCGAAACTTTAATGGTTTATAATTCCCAGTTGGTGTTCCATTTACAACATGAAATTGATTCCTTTCCCCCACCCCATATGAGGGGCCACACGTGTCCGTCGCCCCCTGAGCATCTCATGTGGCAGAGCTATCATCGGGAGGAGAACATTTACATGCGAATTTGCCAAATGTCATTTAGATGTTTTGACAATCGAAGGAAGGCAGCTCAAGTGTGCATACGAAAACAATCGATTTGGGGCAACTGGGAAAACAGCCATACGAGTATGTGTACGTGGGCATTCGCTTATTTTATCTCCCTTTTTGTTTTCTTTTATTTTTGTTCGCACATTTCTTTGACCCTCTTCAAGTGCCAGAAAAGTGTTTGCCTACTTCTAGGCGCTGGCAGCAAGAGATACAGAGAGAGGGAGAGAGAGAGAGCGTTCTCCAGAAATAAACGATTCAAAATCTCTGGAAGTTTTCCAGAATAAGAGCCGAAAAATTAATTTACTTTATTTATTGGAAACAGCTGCTGCTGCTGTAGCTAGAAAACGTTCACTTAATTTTGAGCGAAAAGAGGGAGAACTTTCCGTTCTATTATTTATTTGTATTTTTTGTATTTTCTTATGTTATTTGGCACTCTGACAATGGGATAATGAGTACTTTCCACCCTACCCCAAGCGAGCCCAACTCAGCCTCTCTTCTCCGCGCCTGTCCGAGTTGCTAAGCAACAGGTAGGCCCACAATTTGGCAAAAAGAGAAGCAAAAAACGGTAATGTTCTCCGCAGTCATGGCTAAAATCAGCCCAGATGCCAGCGCGTTGCCTCGCGAGCCGAGCTGTGGGCTCGTGGCTCGTGGTGCCTACGGTTTCGCTTTCGTTCGCTGCGTCAGGGAAATTTGTGCTCCGCTCGAAAAAATGTCCCCGCTACAAGCAACCAGGAAAATCTCTCGCATGCGACAAGGCCGAAAGAGGAGATGGTCAAAGAGGAGCCGAGCCGGAAGGGGCACAGATGCGAAACCAAAAACCGAAACCGAAACACTTTCCGCACTCCGTCACCGTCTCGTTGCCGCCTCGCCTCGTCGCGTCTCGGCATCGGCTGTGGCTGTGGCATCGTCGTCTCCGCTTCACAGTGTGGCACACTGGCACACTCGCTGCTCGATTCCGATTCTGATTTCAGTTCTCGTTCAGCTTCGCCGACGGCACGACGTGTTCCATAGAAAACTAAGAAAATCACCTCAAAACAACTAGGGAAATTGTCGTGTTGTTCTTCGGCGCGGGCCAGGCATAGACGCAAATTGGAAACTTTCAAACATCCAACAAAATTCTGTTAAATTGTTTAAATAAAACAACAATTTCTTGTGTGAGTTCTACGTCCTCTGAAATTTGGGATATTTATTTTTTTTCGGTGACTTCAATTAAAGGTTAACACAGGCAATCAAAATTTGCATATCGCAACGAAATTCAATTGGAAAAGTTTGAGTATTTTGGAAGAGTTTTTCTCTTGGCATTTTTATTGTAGTCTTTTTTTTTAAGTGCAATAAACAGAATATAACGAAATAAAAGTTATTTAAGAAACTAAAAAAAAAATAATAATACAATAAATAATATTATAAATTAACAAGAAAGCTAAGCTATACAAATTCTATTTAAATTATATATATATATACCAAATTTCGAAATTGTTTCAAACAAAAGTAAGCTTCAGCCCGAACCCTTTTTAATGATTACGATGGCAAATTAAATAGTGTAAGCCTATTCACCTGACTAAATCGGCTTAGCACCTGGCCGCAATCAGCCAGCATCATGTTTTGGGGGCACATGCATCAATCCTCTTGTTGTTTGGCCAAAAATGAAACCATTCGAGCTTAAAGTGTTAATTCCCAAAATGTTTGAGGCCCAACAGCACCAGTGCCAGTCCGTGGGCCAGCTCCTGTCCCAGCCCCAGCCTCCGGCGATTCCCATTGCTGTTGCATGTGTGTGTGTGTGTCTCTCTCGGTCTCTGGAGAATTGCTTTGTTCCACAGAAAGCACTTGGCCCAAGTCTGGGAAAATTGTTGCTGCTAAATTAATTACAATAGCTGCCTGGTGCCTGCCCGCCCGAAAGCCAAGCAATTAAAGGCTTAGACCCTGTATATACCCTGTAAATGATCATTGTCTCTTAGTGGGCTACCTGAAAGTATGCTATGGACATTTGAAATTCGATGATAATTCGATGGAGTGCTTTTAAAGATGAAATTGATTTCTCTCTTAATTCATAAATATTCTCAAAAGTAAAGTTAACTTCAAATTGAACTAAATAAATGCTAAGCTTTAATGACGACATTTACAGGGTTTTCAGCAATGAAAAAAACAAACAAACAAAATGCTCAGAATAATAATATTTCAATAAAACAATCGAGGTAGCAGCAGTCTCAGTATCTATCCAATATTGTAGGCTTTCAAGTTCGAGTTCAATAACCAAAATTACATTAAAATAAATTGTGCTGCAATTTTAGAAACCTATAAAACATTGCTTTTAATGGTTCCACTTATTCTATATAAAATAAAATAAAATAAAATATCTAAAAATTTGATTGCAATTCGAATAATTTTATATGGCTTCTGGAACTACTATAAGATTTTAATTACATACTTAGAAACAAATTAAAAGTACCCCTTGAATATCACTTAAAAGTGTGCAGTATTAATAAAAGGAATTCCATTTAAATAAGATGGAGGTCTGGAACAGCAGAACACTCAGTAATTATAGATTCAAAATAGATACAAAGAATCTTAACTTAAGAACTGCTTGCCTTGAAATTCCTCGTAAAATATATTCGCAATACATATAGCAATTTCAGAGTACTCTGTAGAGTGTCCTTCGCCTTCCCGAAAGTGTGGAATGGCATTCCCATAAAATTCCCGAAATTTCCGTTCCCATTTCAGGGTACGCTGTCGCTTGCCACACGCGCTATCTCTGCCTTCACCTCTGCCCCCTGTCCTGGATCGACAAACATTTCTAATTGTCTCTGCCCTGGTCTCTTTCGCCCCGCCCACTCTCCGCCCGTTCTCCAGTCAAGTGAGCCCTCTCACTTGTTAAATATTTAAGCTGCTTGGGCGTTTTAGTTTCAATTTTTAATTAAGAAAAACAAAACAAAACGCTAAGCAACACCAACTGAAACCAGAAGAAGAAGCGCAAGAAAAACCCCGCTCTAGACGAAAAGAAAAAAGTGACAAGCCCACAGGAAAAATGTGTGTGGGTAAAAAAAGAGAACACCGTTTGAAGCACTTAATTGCATTTGGCGTGTTTAACGTGCAGCTGCCTCGTCGCATAATTATCAAAAATGTTGCTCATACGCCGTGTGGCGTTTGAAACACACAAACGGTTGTGCATTCGCTTATGAATGCATGTGGGTATGTGTGTGTGTGTGTACAAGTGTGCGTTGAAGCGCATTTGGTTTTGGCCAGCTGCATCCCCGCCGCCCGGCACTGCCGGGGGGAATCCAAGCCCTTTTTTTGGCATTAGAAATATTACACATACGCCACTTGGGTCGCAGCTGTGCGCGGCATTGCGGAATGGAAATGTCTGCGAAAAGCGTACTGGAAATTTATGAAAATTGCCGCATTAAAGCCAGCGGCGAGACAGCCACAGCCCCTGCTACGGCCACTGCTAAGCTTCCTCTGAATTGTTGTCTGATTATTTATAAAGCGTTTGCTGGGCTTCCTAATTAAATATGGTTATTCTAGTAATTCATTTTAATAATTAAAATTTCGTTGGGAGAAGCAGTACGGTAATGGCTGCCGATCTTAAATAACAAAGTTGTCTGATTGGTTAAAAAACACTTCGCAGACTTCTTCATTATAGCTATACTAGTTGGGGAGAGAGACAAAAAACAAATGAAAGGTCATGCAGACTTTTCAAGGATCCAGAAATTTTATTTTGCTTTCTGGGTTTCCCTTCATACAAAGAAACCCCTAAAATTGTGCAACCTGATGCTGAGAACACAAGATGAGCATTTATTGCTCAATGCAAATAGCAAAGCAAACAATTGGGGGAAATAATGAATATTCTTTGGACATAAGAGCTCTGTGCTGCAGCAGGACAATTACTGAATTCTGGTGAAAAATTAGAGCTCAGGACTGACTGTGGTTTGTACTTCAATCACAACTGGAAAACCAATCTGCGTTAGTGTTGGGAGATATCGAATTTCCACTCAGCTCCAGGGCAGGTTCTGTTGGCTTTCAGAGCTCCAGTCGGTGTCCAGCCTGACTTTACCTTTGATACTCGTACAAAGCTCTGCCCAGCACTTGAAGCCGTTTCTCTCGTCGTTTGGCCTTCCCCATATCCGTCTGCCGTCTCTTGTCTGTCACTCAACTTCGAATGAACCTAATGCAAATCTGATTGGCTCAAAGGAGGAAATTCGGTGCTGAATGCAAGACTCTGAAGGCCAGATAGATGCTGCTCTTGGCCATCATTTGAGATCCATTCGGAGGCCAAGAGAGAAGAGTGAGCTAAAAACTTGTGTGTGGCTCATGCAGTCGATAAACATTATTTGTTGATTTTCGTTAGGTGTTTGATGCCACACAGAATACAAGATAGGGAAAGATGGAGAGAGGTGTAGGGCGCGGGACACTCATTCGCTTATGGCACATTTTCATTCATAAGAGAAATTTGTTTAGCCTTTTTGTGCAATTTTTCATCGTTTTTATTGCATAAACAAAAACTGGCCGTTTTTCGCCCGAAAAATGTAACGAAAGGAACTAAAATTAAAATTGTGATTTGGGTGTAATTTTGTGTGGTTGAAGGTGGAACCACCTTTGAACCACTGCACCACAATTTATGTGGATAAATATTTGCCCCTGCCGCCAATGCATATTGTTATTATTTGTATAGTGTTTCGGATTGATGCAGGCTACGATGTAGCAGGCGCTAAGCAGTTCGAGTATTTCCGGGAATCGTTCCCACAGATTGCAGTACTCATTCATCCGACTGTTTGCGATTTGGCTAAAATTCCACGCATACGTTTGGCTATCGCAACTAAGGGTACATATTTTTTGTGTGGTTTGCTCATGAAATTAAAGATTGTTTAAAAAATATTTAATAAATACTGAGAAAGTCAACTAGCACAGAAGAGAAATTTCTGTGCGCTGTATTCCTTCCATATCTTGTTTTTGAGTATGTTCAGTATTTTTAAAATGATTCTTTTCTACTTTAGATTTTTTACAGACTTTTATATATGTATGTCCCATTTTGGGTATAAAATTTTTGTGCTTCCCTTTGCTGGAGTTTATTTTTGTGGCTATTTTTTTTGTATTGCAATCAAAATGAAAAAATTTTCACAAAATGTCCAAAATGTCAACCGCAATGAATAAATTTGTATGCAATTAATTATTGAATCAATTAAATATACTAACAAACAAACGAAATAAACATTTTTGTGTCATAAATCATAGATGGGATCTTAAAAACCCCAAGAAATTTTAAAACAAAAAAAAGAAAACCAAAAACACGACTTAAAATAAAATCGTAGAAATATAATAAAAAACCGATCCATGAATGTGTCTAGTGTATTTGGGATGTCAGGCATTTGATGGATTTGTGTCACCAATAAGCTGAAAATTAAGCCCATAAATCAACAATAACAACAACAAAAGCCAACTACAAATCTAACCATCAGCGGGTGAGTAGCCAAATAAGTAAATTATTAATGAAGCCGTGCGATGCAAAAAAACAAATAACAAAAAAAGATTAAATAAAATACAATTTAGTATATTATATAAGGAGAATTCCAGCAGCGAGTGCATACAATTGCTCAACACACAGATACTCACAAAAACACCAACACACTGGCATTGCATTAATCACCACTAAAAAGTCAACAATCCAAAACGACAACAACAACTTCAAAAACTGCAACATCTACAACATTAAGTTGTTTGTTGTCCTTCGCTTTGATTGTTTTATTTATCTACTGGTTTTTTTCGTTGCAAAAATATTTACAATTCTTTGACGGCAAATATTTGGGCTTAAAGGTTGAACGAGAGAAAGGGGGGGAAAGTGGGGCTAGCCAGAGCTCCGCATAAATGCGGCCATAGATGGGAAAGATTGAGCTGAGTCTGCCGCAGACATGCGGAAGCAAATGTTGCAGCAGATCGTATAACATATTTGTTCTAACTACGAGTATATTAACATGAATCACAATTTACTGGACGAAGCTTTGCTGGAATGCAAAACAAAAGCATTCCAATGTTGGAATGCCAGGAAGCCATTTTGGAATCCAAAGGGAATTTTCTCATATTATATGCAGCTCCTATAGCGCATGCGATATCTTTTAGCTTATACCCGTAAAAGGATAATCATTTCCATGATAAGTACACTTTGAATGGTACTGGATGTTTGTTAAGAAAAAATACAACAACATTTTTGAAGTTTCTCTATTTATTTGCAAATTAAAATGTTCAATTTAATATCGATATCTTCAAATTCTCAGAAATTTTCAGGTCACAAGCTATATTTTATTGTAGTGTATTTACTATTAAATTTGTAAATGCATAGAATTTGATTGAATATTCCACTTTGGATTTGGTCTCTGGCTCTCAGCATTTATTTAATATACTTTTTTGTGATGGTTTCTACTATCTCTGTGATGACTCGCGCCGCGCCTCTTCTTCTGGCTTTTGCTTTTGGCCATGAGAGAACATTTTTATGAAATTAGTCAAATGCACGAGACGATGGCGAAAACAACATTTTGTCAGCCAATGCGATGTAATGCACAATAAAATAATATAAATAATAAAAGAGCCGCCAGAGGGGACCCCATTAAGACGGTGGATGGGGGACATTGGGTGGTGGGCATGCGAGTACGTACTTACGTATGTATGTATGTATGTAGCAGTATATGTTTTGTATATGATAATATGCCCAGGAGATTACTCGAATATAATTTATTAATATGTCAAAGACATGTTCTTGGGTTTGTTTTTGTTTGTTTTTTCTACTTCCTGCCCCCACTTGTACGCTCTCTGTTCGTCCTATTCCATTTATTTTTCTTCCTTTTCCACTAATTCTTCTTCGTCGCATTCGTTTTCCTGATTTTTGTACAAAACAAACTTGTTAATGCCGCCTGCCGCATAAGACAAACAAGAATGAATGAGCAAGTAAAAGCGCCCGCCATTCAGCAAGTGGGGGAAGAACATTCGGAAGGGGACATAAAGATACGCCAGAAAGGAAATTCAATTCAAACTCAAACTTTCCGGGAACTACTCGTATTGTAGCTCCCATTATGGTGTAGCTCCTCCTCACCAAAGTGGGAGTTCCTTGTAAATGAAGTGAATTAAAAAACTTTTTCCAAAAACTAGTTCACTGTCAGTGGATGTGGCATGCGGAGATAAATGGCTTTCATCATTTCCTATCATGTTATCTCATTTCTATTTCTATCTCTTATTTTCCATTTCTGAGCCTGATTTCAAAAAGGTTCTGATTCTTCACTGCTGTAAGATACTTCAAAAAATACTCCTCCAAAGAAAGTTACATTCTCAATGGCTTCCCATGAACATATTATTTATGTAGGTATACTTTTACTCCCAAACCAAACACAGCCAAGCCAAGTGGAAATCTATTACTTTTAGGGCACACAAATTACCGTAACTTTAACTGCCCCGCCGACATAACCGTTATCCATTTTCCTTCATTTTACCAAAACATTTTCCCCCAGTATTTCCTTGTTTTCATTCGCTCATTTCCATTTGATTTGAGGCAAATGTGCAGCGAACATAATTGAGAATGTCTTGAGAATCTGTTGACAGTCCCACTAAAAAAATAAGCCATTTCGAGCGAGGGTTGCCAAAGAAGAAAGAGAGAGAGAGAATGAAAATAAGGGGTAGAGAGAGAGCGAGCAAAAGACAGCAACAAATTTAATTTCGTAAGTGACTTTTGGCAAGACAGGTGAAGGTGTCTATAAATATAGGCGATGTCGGCATAAATTTCCCAGACAGCCTGCAACAGCAACAGCAACAGAGAGGCAAAGAGAGAGAGAGAGAGTGAGCGAGATAGACAGAGGGAAATAGCGAGGAAAAGCAACGGGCAACGGTAAAAATCAAAGCGAAAATTGAACGAAAAAAAGGCTGTAAAATAATCAAAGCGCTTTCGTCAATTTGTATTGAAGAAGAGACACACGCAACACACAAATGCAGACATACATACATACGTCTGCTACTCCACACAGAGACACACACACACACACACACACATACATGCATAAATAAACCGTTACTTTGTTGCAAGCTGAATGAGTGGGGCGGGGGGCGTGACCAAAAATATATAGGAACATACAAAGGGACCGACTTGTCGTTCGCTTTTATGCACGGTAAACAATGCAATAAATATAACCCTAAATAATAAAAAGAAAAATAAAAACTATGTACATCAACATTAAACTACACAGCTGCTACACACAAAATACACTAAATCTAAAGTCACTTCAGGCTTTTCGCTTGTCAGCTATATTTCCCCTGCCACGGCCCCCACTAAGCCGTGTGTGCGCCCACTTCTGGAAAAATCGCAAATTTTAGATTCTGCTGGGATTACCTTTCTGCTGTCTGACGTCTAATTTTGGCTGCGAGTTTGCCATAATCTTGCAGATTTTATAAGCAAGAGTGTCAGGATTTTTCAGGAAGTTGCTTCTGTATTTTCTTAAAAAATTCACCACCATCAAGAGACTTAAGCCCGAACATCTACGTGCGTCTCAACAGATGGTGTATGTATATGTACATATGCATCATGCTTGGTAATGTTTATCTAATAAATAAGTTTCAAATTCCTCCAAAAACAACTCTAGATCCCCTCATAGTCACCTGCCAGGAAATAGGCGCAAAAGCAATACTTTAATCGTCTGATTTTTGTTTACTTTTAGGACGTTTTTATTGGTTTCAGAAGTGTAATATATTCAGATATAAAAATTCTATTCGATTCCGTTTTTTCTTTACTTAACATGTTTATATTAAAACTATAATCATTCTAAATAAATTTAGTTTTTAATCAACATTTTGCCACTTTTAGAAAACCATTGGGACTATGAAGATCAAAATAAATTGCATGTTACACTTTATAGTTCCGAATTGGGAAAACAATTTTGTTGCAAGTTTAAATTAAGGATCGAAGTGTCAGCCTTATTAAAAGTTTATTTTGGTTAGCGACTTAAAATATCTTCAATGAATACACAACCACTGAGGAGTAAGGCAATTGAAAAGTTTGGTGCGGGGAGGGGGTTGCGATGGGTATGCTAACTTGTGGCATATGTTAAGCACTGCCACATTCCGTAAACAACGTACCCAAATTTGTATTTATGTTTGACACACTTCCCTTTTTGGGCAGCCAAAAATGTGTAAAGTCCATTTGGTGTCCTTGGAGATTTTTTGAAAGCCGATTGGTTGTTCGATAACAATGAACCAGCCCATCTCGGGGAACGGGAACGGAACTCCAGGTCGGGTATGGCTATGGCAACTTGGTCTGTGTACAAGATTTATGCGAGGACTGCATTTAATTTGGTTCATTCTCTGCCTGGTGGGTATCGTCTGCCCGTGTCCTGTTCTTCTAGCCCGCCCCGAAAACAAGCTCCAACAAATCCAAGGACATTCCCGAAACTCCTTTGAAATATGAGCCGAATTTTGTGCGGTTCCCTTTTCCTTTTTGGCTCTGCTCTGGGTTTTCCCTTGGAAACCGCACGCACTTTTTTATCCCTCGGTTTCCTTCACACCGAGCGCCAAAAAAAAAAATAGAAGAAGGGGAGAGTGAGGCGAAGGCAGGGGCAGACGAAAAAAAAAATTGACACAGAAATTGATTTTTGGGCCTTTATCATGTTGGTCAGTGTTCCCAGTGTTGTTCTTGTTGTAGTTGCCCTCACACACAGCATCCCTTGGCCTCTCAATCCCTGTCACTCTTTCTCCCTGTGTATGAGGATGTGTGTGTGTGTGTGTGTATTGTTCTCCCTCGTCGCTTTTTATTTGTCTGCCTTTCAATTTTAGTTGTTGCTTTGTTGCCTTGCCGCCTACACCCCCCACCAACATTTTTTTTCCTTGTTGTTCTTACTTTGCTTTACCGTTGTACGCCATGTTTTCGCTGCCTATGTGTGTGTGTGTGTGTGTGTATTGTGTTTTTGTGGGTTCGTTCAGTGTCCAAATATCCCACAGCGAAGGAAAGAAGAAAGGTGTGTGCTAAACCACAGAGAAAGGGGGGAGAAAGAGATTCGAAATGAAGTTAGTTGTCAGTGACATTTTTCATTTCAAAAATACTTTTCTAAAATATACCTCCAAACAAAACAAAATACTCTCAAATATAGAAATTGTTTATAACAAAATACTGTAGCATACATACGGTATTAGGGAAGATTCTATATATAAATCATTTGAAAATCAATTTGAAACCGTTTAAACTACAAAGGCCAGTTCCACATGATACGAATTCAGTCACGCGGATGATCATCGATAGAGACGTGTGACTTCCGTTCGCTTATGGGAAATTTGTACGGCTATGCACTCTCATTCGGGTCATTCGACGAGTGTGCGTGCCCTGTTGAAAACAAGTTAGCAGTACCTACCAACAAGACAAGCTGCAGCATTGGAATAAAGAAATCAGGGAGAGCATAGTGCAGTGGTACTCAAAAGGAGAAATACCAACAGCAGC